TCCCCATCAAACAAAATAAACTACGTTTTACTTGAAACATCTTTAATATATAATAGTTTGGAAGATGATAAGATGTCCTCTTCAAACATGAACAAACAGAGTTTAATCTGAAATATTTTTAACATGTAACAATTTTAAATGTGAACATTATTATCGTGCAATAGTTTGTAAGATAATAAAATGTCCTCTTCAAACAAAATAAACTTCTTAAAACATCTTTTTCTCTAAACACATAATTTGGAAGATAATAAAAATATCCCCTTCAAACAAACTGAGTTTTACTTCAAGCGTACAATAGTTTTTAACCCTCCGACTGAATCTCAGCATCCTGTGTCGGGGTCATTTTGACTCACACGGATATCCCACTAATATTTAGGATTATCCGGACGTCTCACCGATACTCTACATAGTCTAACGGTTTGTTCGAGACAAGGTCCTCATATTGTACCAACACAGTGACAGACACCCGACTCATATAGGAACATGTAGGAGTATAAGGAACAATAGTCACATGAATAATAAAGTTATATATATTTACTATACATTTATGTCACTTACTATCAGGAACGTCTTGTGCAAATTGAGCGAAAGAAGACAAAGAACAATTGCTCGTTGGCAATGAAGACATTGCAACAAATAGAAACAACGGAAAAAAGAACAAAAATAATAATAAAAAAAACAGTAAATTAATAATAAAAATAGTAAAATATTAAAATATTAGAAGCTAAAATCTAAATAGTAAATACGAAAATACAAAAATAGTATAAAATACTAAATACTAGAAACAAAAATAATACGAACTGAAATTAAATACTAAATATTAAAATACGAAAACACTAAGATAATAAAAACACTAAAATATGAAATAAACTATGAAATAAAAAATTGCTTCGATTTGCTGCACAGGTCTTTCTTCCTCAGAACGTTACCAGAAACTGATTTTTTTCATCTTTAGTCGTCGTCACTTGGGCAATTTGGCAAACACATGGCGCACAGCGACCATGATGCTCGTGCGTTAGTGCGATATCACAAACACAAGCAACTCCCAGCACAGATCGAAACTGTGACTCCGGCACAGTAGGCGAAGAAGGGTTAACATACGAGACACCCTGTGTACGAAGCTACGAAATTCCACGTCTGCACCGGACGATTTACAGTTGAAATTTTCCGCACTTTGATGTGAACGACAACACCGGATTCGTTATAATGCCGCGGAGCCATCGCGGCGGATCTATCAGCGCGAATTGTTCGCTGCCACGACGAATATTTCACGTCGGCGAGCTGGTCGCAGCTGTTGCGAACAGAAGTCGATGTTTCGCGCGCAAAACGAAAAATCAAAGCGGGGCGCGGTACGATGGAACGCGCCGAACACGTGCGATCTTTATCTATAGATCGGCGAATCGCGGAAACGGGGCAAGACGTCGGCCGCCTCCTCCTGGCACAGATTTCGTTCACCAAGCGCCAAATTTACGCGGCTCCGATACACTGGCCAATCGTTTTGGCCATTCGCCACCGGTTCCTGGTGCCCGCAACATCCAACTTGTTTTTCTAGGTTCTCGTTCGGATCTCCCACCTTTCAATCGGCGGTGTCTCGTCGATCTGACACGACCCGACGCAAATTGCACGCGACGTTTACAAATACACGGAATTTAAGGCGAAGTTTTATCCCGAGGGGGGAAAAAACTCGGAAGAGGTTGCGTCGAATTAAGAAGCTGAAGAAGAAACACCGGGCGTGACCACCCCTCTCGAGAGAGAATGAGAGAGAGAGAGAGAGAGAGAGAGAGAGAGAGAGAGAGAGAGAGAGAGAGAGAGAGAGAGAGAGAGAGAGAGAGAGTGAGAGAGNAGAGAGAGAGAGAGAGAGAGAGAGAGAGAGAGAGAGAGAGAGAGAGAGAGAGAGAGAGAGAGAGAAAGAGGTTACGTCGGCGTCTGCGTGGACATAAAATAGCAGTAGCCGAGTGGAACAAGGTTCGTTGCCCCGTTTTCATCGCGTAGATAGATGCAATTTGCCGTGATGATACTACACGCCGTGCGAATTTTCTCTTTATTGCATCAACTGGTCTCGTCAGTATTAATTTATTTACATAATTAATAATTGCTCGTAGACATCCTTCAAAAATACCGAAAGGCATTTCGAAAAATGTGAAAATACGAAATTTTTGCTTTTCAAATAATAATAGATGAATTTCCCTTACATATATATATATACTGCTCACAAAAATTAGGGAATATTTCAAAATGATAATATAATATTCAAAATATATTATATTTTATATATTTTATTATTATTATATCATACTTTATATATTTTATTATTGTTATATCGTATTTTATATGTTTTATTACTGTTATATCATATTTTATACATTTTATTACTGTTATATCGTATTTTATATATTTTATTACTGTTATATCATATTTTATATATTTTATTGCTGTTATACCATATTTTATATATTTTGTTACTGTTATATCATAGTTTATATATTTTATTACTATTATATCATATTTTATGTATTTTATTACTATTATATCGTATTTTATGTATTTTATTACTATTATATCATATTTTATGTATTTTATTACTATTATATCGTATTTTATGTATTTTATTACTCTTATATCGTATTTTATATATTTTATTATTGTTATATCGTATTTTATATATTTTATTACTGTTATATCATATTTTCTATATTTTATTACTGTTATATCATATTTTATATATTTTATTACTGTTATAGCATATTTTATATATTTTGTTACTGTTATATCATATTTTATATATTTTATTACTGTTATATCATATTTTATATATTTTGTTACTGTTATATCATATTTTATATATTTTATTACTATTATATCATATTTTATATATTTTATTACTATTATATTTTATGTTATATTACTATTATATTATATTTTATGTATATACACAAAAATAAATTACATAATATAAATAAATAGTAAATTATATTATAATATAATAAATTATATATATAAAGTAAATAGCCCGTAATTACCTAAAGGATTTTCTTACGAATGGCCGGATCGTTACGGTCAATAAACTAAACAGAGATGTCTCTGTGTTTGAGAACGGAGTTGATATTCTTATTTTTAGAGACGAACGATCTCTTCTCACATTGGACACAATCAGCTGTTCATCAGCTATGAGCCACGTTCGTCGTGGGGTCAATTGCTCGAGGGAAATAGCCAATAAAGGTAGAGGCTTCGACAGGGAAAGAGGAAGGTAACTGATCGTTCCATTGTCAGCCCCAATATCGGTGACCTCTCGTTCGAGCAATCACTTAATTCACAGGGACATCTCTCGTACGTGACACTGTCCGAGCAATAAACATAATCGATTCTTATGCAACGATATATATATATATATATATATATGTATGTATGCCTTGATCGTCTACCGTAAAATTATATCCGGTCGATCCGATTGCTGATCGACAGACGTTTGAAAAATTTCAACGAGTCATTAATCGTCGAGCCATCTTAACGCCTCATTGGCCGAGATAAAAGTACCTATCGTTTCGACTCTCGAACTGTCGACGCTGCATGTAAAAGTCTATATAAAAAAAGAAGTTTAAATAATAATAATATAATACGTAACATAATGATGATAATAATATAAATGATAAACCCATCGTGATCGTCTGAGGGTTAGACGAGTATATTATTATTATTATTATTATATTATTATTCCTTGATGTTAACAATGAAATTTTGTTAAAGTTAAGTATGCACTTGTAAAGTTGAGTTCATTTTATGGTACAACAGTCAGATGCGCTGTGAACGGTGCTTAACGTTATTAAATACGATCTCGTTCAATCTACTCTCGCTGTTCAATTGCGTGATTGCAGCCACGGAATAGTGAAAATGACGCGGGATTAATTTGAGAGAAACGGGACGAGACGTTTTCCCATCGTTTGTTTTTCGACGATCTCGAAGGGAAATGCAATCAGTCTCCAGTCCAGGTTTTCCCATTTACGACCGATCCCGGTTCCTGGGGAGTAATAGAATAATATTTGGAAAATCCCAACGATTGTTTACAGACAAACGATCGCAGATAATATATTTCGTTTTTTTGTAAAGAAGATTGTAGTAGAAGAAGGACTTTCCCAACGATCAATCTCTGTTTGACCATCGGTGATTGATCCAAGATTAATAAAAGCACATAATGAACAGTGAATGTTAATACTTCTAAAATTTTTCAATATTAGCTTCGTTCATTAGCTGTTATACAATAATGTGAAAAAATTAATGCAGTGTGGAGCATGTAAAAATAATTTTATTTATGATATATATGTATAGATATTGTTCGTGCATATTGTTATATATATATATTAAAGAAGAGCAAACAAAGAAAAGATAAACCAATGCAGTCTTAGACTCTTTTGGTACAATTTTTTGCTATTGTTCTACCTAATTTGTTTCGAATTTTTCTCACAACATCTACAGTAAAATTGTCTTTCTGGATCCTGGTTTTCCTGCCATTTCTTTTTCTTTTTTTTTTTTAATTTTATGGCATAGTTTTCCCTACAGTAAATCCCCAGTAAAATAAATCCATTAAACACGGTTGTGAACCTAACCTCAACTTACCTGTTGCAGGTAATACAGGGTGGCCACTGAAAAACTGAAGGATTTGAAAAAGTTGTAACTTGTTCATTTCCAATCTTTTTCATTTTCTTTTTCCGTAGGTTATAGAAAAAAATCCATCAATTATATTTCCAAATAAGATAATAAAAAATTTAGAACAACACGTGTTTGTAAAAGTTATTTTTGTTTTATATCATTCAGTCTTTCGGTGACCACTCTATATTTCAACATAATACTTATTAAGTCAGTCCATGCGAAATAAATATTAAATAGCGAAAAAAACATCAAGAAACGCCAAAAAAAAACATCGACTGTTGCCTCGATTGGTCTTAATCGAGCAAAGACGAACATTTTAAACGTTCAAACGTAAAGCATTAGAATTGATTACTTACCGTTCATCAACGGCAGAGTTTGACTCATCGTAAAGTCCTGCAGTGGCATATTCGTGCTGCAACAATAAAGAAAAAAAAAGAAAATATCGATTAAGTTCACACGTTTATAACGAAAGCGAATCGTAGAACAGAACAACATGTTTCTGTCGCCGCTTTCTTTGAAGACTTTAAAGAAAGGGGGGGTTTTATTTTCGGAATAGGAGCGAAAAACGGAGCAGAGGCACGTGGTGGCCTCCCGATTCCACAGGAAATAGACTGCATTCGGACTAGACCGAATTAGACGAAACTTTTAAAAAGGATCAAGATGAAGGCTGCCTTCTATTTCCAGAGCCGACGATCGGTTAAAAGAAGAGTAAAACTGCTTCTAAGGACAAAGTTTGCGCATAGATCAGCTGTTAATCAGTCAGACAGAAGTGATTCCAGTCATCTGAAGGATCTCTCGCTGAAATTTCAACGAACGAGTGACCGAACCGTATACAATAATTTGTCGCTTTTTCTTTCTTTTGAACACGTCGGTATGAAATCACTGGATAGAAATTATTGACAAGTAACAAATTTATTATTTACTTTGCCTGGGTTATACTTAAATATACTTGAAACTGAGAAAATATTGCAATTTTGGGATAAAAAATTCTCAACGTGCACAAGAGGATTAACCACTTGCGCTGGCAACTGATTGCGGACCATAACGAGTGACCAAAACCGTACACAATAATTCGTCTCTTTCTTTTTCTTTTGAACACGTCGGTATGAAATCACTGGAAATTATTGAGAAGTAATAAATTTATTATTTACTTGGCCTGGGTTATACTTAAATATAGTTGAAACTGAGAAAATATTACAATTTTGGAACAAAAATATTGTCGACGTGCGTGACACGTCATTCCAGCGCAAGAGGTTAAGGAAATTCGATCCGTTATAATTAAACGTAACGAATCGTAACCAAGAGGCGAACTAAGAATCTGTCACAAAATCACAAACTACTCGAATTGATTTCAATCATTTTTGAGTGGAGTTTCAGCTGCGCCAAGTGGATCGAAAGAAACGATCCGTTATAATTAAACGCCAGGTGACCCAGATTTTTCATTGCGATTTTCTCGTTCGTTCTAACGAACCGGACGAGTCGACCCGATGGCGTATATAAAATACACGTTTCGCGTGACACGTCAGTGACATATAGTCGCGGGGCCACATCAAAACGGGTTCGGTTACCGGCAATAAGGAAACGGTAGAATTTCCAGAAAGGTTTAATTTAGATTTCATCCAAACTGGCTATTCCTGCCGGCCACACTGTTGAAACGTGAAATGAGTAATTAACGGATAACGCGACCTCCCTCCGCCGCCTCTCCTGTCGCGGGCCTTAACAAGTTCTGAGAGTTTCTGGCTATTACTCGCCCTCTCAGCACCGTGCAGTCTGGAAAATCTGACCCCGCCCGGCTTCTGGCACGATTCTGCATGGTGCAGAAATTCGTCTAAAGCTCGCTCGAGCTCTCGTACAAACGACGTACGTAAGTCTCGAATATTCCGTCCGTTTCATTTGAATTTCGCGCGACAAAGTAACATCACGTAGTTCGGAGCAGAGTGCGACAACAAATTTCAGTCGCTTGCTAATTGAATCCATCTATTCGAATCTGAACTCCTATTTATATTAACGAAAAATTATACAGGGTGAAAAGATAAGTTGGAAATAAAATTTTTCTACGTGAAAAAATAAAATTTTAAAAAAGAAAATAATATTAGTAAATATTTTAATTGTTATTGAAATTTGTATAGATATAATTTTAAATATTAATGATATTAATAAATTTTAATAAAAACATAATAGAAAATAAAATTTTGATAAAATCTTTTCGTTTTTGAGGTTTGAATTAGGTTTTTGTCTTGAAGAAAATCAGCTTGACTCGGAGAATATTCAAGATCGATTTACTCGAATACGAAGCCTTGGAAAAAAAAATTTTATTCTCTATTTTCGTTCCTTTCAGCGTGATTTTCTCCAAAGTGGAGCAGAAACGAGCAAATCTGCAAAGGACTTTCCTTTGCACTCCCGAAATTTTGACATTTAAATTTGGGACACCCTATGAACGACTAGTTATACAAAGTAAACATAAAATACAGTTATATAAAATAAATAATAGTTTATAGAAATTATATAAATTATTATATATATTAAATAATATAAATTAACTAACTACTATATTTACCAACTAATAATAGTTAACTGACTTTTATAGTTACTTAACAGTTAAGTAAATATAATAAAATACAACAATTATGTAAAGTGAATAATAGTAATTAGTATTTAACATATATTAAATAATAATAGTTTATGTAAATTATAAACTAAAAAATAATAGTAGTTTATATAAATTGTGAACTAAAAAATAATAATAACTTATATAAACTATATTGTTAGTTATATAAAGAAGATAGTTTATATAAACTATATAATGTGTTATTACTATAAACTGTATAAACTAAATACAGTTTATAGTAATTATATAAACTAAATACAGTTTATAGTAATTACATAAACTAAATGCAGTTTATAGTAATTATATAAACTAAATACCGTTTATAGTAATTATACAAACTAAATACAGATTATATAAACTATAATTATAATTTATATTTTACATAAACTATATATAACAAGTCGACATAAACCGTGACTCAAAATTGAAAAAAGAAGTTCTCTTATGCTTCTCAAAACAAAAAAAAAAAAAAGAAAAAAGAGACACTACACGCACGCATTTGAAGTTAAAAATGACACGCAGCTCGCGGACCTCCAACGCGTCGTTAACCGTTCTTTTCCACCTTTTCTTTTTCCTCCCCCCATTGTCGAAGAAAGAGGGTGAAGGATTAGTCGTTTCTTTTAGCGAGGTCTATTTAGGAGCTTCGAGTGCACCTCGTAATCCCGTTCACCTCGCGCGAAAACCGTTTCCTCTCCTTTTCGGCAGCAGCCCCCCAACTCTGATATATATTTAAGCACAACCCCTTATCCGCTAGTAGAACTAATCCGAATGCAGACTTCTCGGAACCTCGGCAGACGCCTCAGAAGTTGTTCAGCCCGGAACGAACTCAGCGAGAGGTGGGGGGACACCAAAGGGTGACATTATCACGCTGACATTATTATTGGTCGTTTTCAAGAGACAGGGTTGCTTCGTCTAACAAAGAAGAATCGCGACGGTGGCCGTGTTCCGCGATCGTTTCAGTCCGAGATAATCTGAATTCCAAGCAAAATGAAAATGGCTCTCCTCTCGACTCTCACGTTTGGATAGAATTTTTGGACGTTTGCGTTTCGTATCTTGTGTGTGACAAATGATTGAGACAAACACCAGTTGGTGAGTCATCCTATGCTTTGCAGTTTATCGAGACGTAATAATGGTTATTAAGCAAAGCGGCTTTAAAACATTTAAAAATGACACTTGACGCTAGTACTATTAAAGAATATAAAATTGTATAAAAGTTACAAGGTTTTATTAAAAATAAAACTATCGAGAAATATATAATAAATATATAATAAAATTATACATACATAATATAATGTTATTAAATATGTAATAAAATTATACAAAAATTAATATTAAAAATTATATAAAGTTAACTATATAAAGATTATAAAATTTAGAACCATCGACAAATACAAAATTATATAAAAATTAATATAAAATATATAAAATTAATATTAATATAAAAATATTAAATATATATAATAATTAATATAATTAATATTAATTAATATAATTAATATTAATATAAAAATATTAATTTCCATCAGAGACGTTAAAGTAACAGAAAATAATAATATTTATAATATTTATAAATAATATTTTAATAATATTTATAAATAAGATACACAAGCTTTTATTTATCATTGTACTTTACACAGAATCATCTCCACAAAATACACTGTTCTATAAAATGTCTAACAAAAATTATCGATTGGTCTACTTTAACTATTTTCTAGGTTTACTGTTATAGTTACAGTTCTAGTGTTGATCAGAGAAAAAACAGTCGAGTTATCGAACTTTACGTTAGTTTCGTCAGAGTGGAAGTTTTATTTCGAAACGTGAAATCGATTGTTTTGCATTCTCAGCGAAGAATAATAATTTCGTTGGCGTGCTCGTGACAAGACGAGGATCGCAGGATGCATAATTAGAAACAGATGAAACGCTCTGCGTCGTTCATAAAACTACAATTGATCGCAATAGAGATTCGTTTACATAATTCATAACATGCGTTTCGTAACATGCAAACGAGAATTATTGCCGCGCTCCGTGAACAAAAAATAAATTACGAAAGTATCGGCAGTCTGGTTTAATAATTATCGCAGTTTCCAGTACCAAGTGGCGATTTCAAGTTGCAGATTCTTCATAATTTCCAAACGAAACTTAAACGAATACAACAAAAGCTCGAAGGTTCGAACATACCGAACTTTAATTTATCATTAACTTTCGAGTTAAAAATTCAACTCGACACCCGATCAAAACGTGTTACTCGAATAATACGAAACGACTTGGTTAATTAGCTTGCAAAGAAAAAAAAAAAAAAGAAGAAGAAAAGAAATTGATAAGAAGGAAAAAACAATTTTATGAAATGACGCACATCGGTTGTCGTCATCTGGCAAGATGGAGGGTGGTTGTGTAAGTAATCAATACTGGTGGAGCAGATATGGTGGCATGGACCGAAAGAGAAGAGTATGCAGTTTCAGTTCAACAATCAATCGCTCTCGCGGACTTTAGTCATTTTCTACAAAATCTACGAAACTTCCTGCGCGCTCGAGATACGGGAAATCCGGCATTTAAAAAAAAAAAAAAAAAAAGAAAAAAAATGGGGTAAAAATTTCCAAGGCAGTCTGAAATTTATCAACAGATAAAACACTGTGTAACCAACGTCGTTCGTGTAAATTTGAAGGTTAACGAGGTTCAACGATACTTCGAATATCGAATTACAAAACAACCGTACCCCAGATACTGTTCAATGCCATTTCCTCGAATTAGTTTTGTTCGTCAGTACATAATACGCATCAGAGAAAGAGGATACATCTGTAAATGCACGTAGTGAATCCTTGGTTATCTTATTTCAACATTACCAAACACACAGTTTTTCCACTCTGATTAGATGATCAACACTAAAACTCTTGCGTAGAATTTTCTACGTGTAACAACGTTGCTGCATTGCTAATTATCCTTGGCAACTTTTTTTAAAATGTGCAAGCAGGTTTCTTGCAGAGCTATAAAAATCCAGGCTTTATTACCCTTGGATATCCTGCTTTACGTTTTTGTCCTTTGTTCTTCTATTTTTATGCTTTTGTTTTTTACTATTTTTGTTGAGTTCACATGAACCTGCTCTTCAGTGTCAAATCAGAAGTTTTTACACATATTTTGCACCCCTCGAATATGAACCATTTAGAGACAACCCTAAATCCCAGTTAGCTTTCGTTGAAACCTCTTGAATGACGTGCCCAAATTGCAATATTTCCTCAGTTTTAAGTATATTTATAATATATTTATAATATATTTCAGTATATTTATAATTGTACAGTTATAAAGTATATTTAATAAATTTATTACTATCCAATAATTTCTATCCAGTGATATCATACCAACGAGTTCAAAAGGAAAAGAAAGCGACGAATTATTGTGTACGGTGTTGGTCACTCGTTATGGTCCGCAATCAGTTGCCAGCGCAAGTGGTTAAAATGTTTTCCAATAAATCACAAACGACACTTACAATATTATGTATTTTTAAACAAATAAAGCAGACTTGTTCAGAATAATTTAACAATTATACCATATTATTATCATGACTTAAAAATAATAATTTGCTACATCAAAAACTCAAATTTTCTCTACCAAACTTCCACCATATCGCGTCTTTTCTTGCCTCAACAATTTCAAATTTAGATCGCTGATTCTGAAAGTTTTTGCCAAATTTCCTCTTGGTAAAACCTTCGACGATAACGATGGATCAATGGATCAACATCTTGATCTCTCCGCTCAGCAAGCAATGAATCAGGCACGATCGCGCGGCGCGGCGTGACGTCGACTAACGATATTAGAACGTGAGCGTGCGTGTGCAAACGTTCCTTCAATTACCGGATCGTTAAACGTATTAACTTGCCGAGTTAAACAATTAGCTCGGCACTGTCGAACGGAAAACGAAATTGTTTATAGAGCGATTCGAGCTAACTGGCCCGTGTTCTTGCGTATGCCTCGGCCGAGAGTGGGTGTCCAGTGGGCGAAAGAGGAGTTCGTTAGCGGTTTAACGAATGCACGAGACACTTGGCCGACAAGTGTACGTATATGTATGTAGATCGATGCAATTCGGCCTCGTGTGTCGCGACCTTTTCACCGTTTCGGTCAATCGAAACCTCGTTTTCCCTCCTTTCCCGACAACTTCCTCCTCCGCCCTTGGGTTTCCCGTCGTTGGAGAAGCGTAACTTTTGAGAAAAATAATTTTACTTGCTGGCCTGGACTAAAATATTATACCAATGTAACGTAATATTAAATATTATACTAATATAATACTTGACATATTACACTAATATATTAAATATTAATATGCGTAATATATTACACTAATATATTAAATATTATATTAATATAATTATATTAATATTTATATTATATTTATATTTTATATACATATATTAAATACTATACTAATATAATACTGAATATTAAATATTATACTAAATAATTATATTATAATCGTTACAAATAATATTTATGTTTATAATTATTACAAACAAAAATATTATACTAGATATTACGTTAATACTGGTGTAACATAAAGCAGTTGTAATGAGAATAACTCGCAACATCAAGGTTCATTGACCTCTTGCAATCTAATATTCAAGTATGCTGATCATGCTAGAGTAAGCACAATTGAATCCTACAAGTTTTACATTTTTCTCGTAACCTATCTAATATTAACCACTTGCGCTGGAATTTTTGTCCCAAAATTGTAATATTTTCTCAGTTTCAAGTATATTTAAGTAAAACAAAATAGGTAGAACAAATAATAAACTTATTACTTCTCAGTAATTTCTATCCAGTGGCATCATACCGACGGAGTTCAAAAAGAAAGCGACGAATTATTGTATACGGTGTTGGTCGCTCGTTACGGTCCGCAATCAGTTGCCAGCGCAAGAGGTTAAGAGAGAGAGAGAAAGAGAGAGAGATTGACAAAATCCTAATAAACTAGAGAATTAATTAAGCTACCGAATGATGAACCGGAATAACGTGCTAAGCAATCGAGGGATTTATTTGTCTCTGATAATTCGCATACCATAAATAGCCCAGCAAACTATTAATCGTTACGGATTACTCGTGACTCATTTCGCGAACAAAACGACACGTTGTGTCGGTGTAACAGATACGAACTTGTTGCGCTATTTTTCGTAGTTGCATCACCAAGGAACATGCATTTTTCATGATTGGAAAAATTCATCATTTGAATTCATTACTAAATTCTACGCATTGATCTTTGTAGCCGAAAGCTGAAAGCTGTTGACAGTTTCTTTAACATTTACAATTACCGACGACTGAAGCATAAAGACAATTAAACAGTTGAAAGAAATAAAAAATTATGGTAACTTGCATAAACTTTCATTTGTACATTTTATACTTGAAAAACAATTTAAAATAATGTCTCGCGTCTACAAAATTTCTAACAAAATCTATTATAAACTAGTAAATTTTGACCATTTTGGTAGTTCTAATGTTAACATCTAATTTAAGATATCTGAATCGCGTGTGTACCATTATATTTTACATTAAATCATTACAATTAAATTTCCACTTTAAAAAAATTAAGATGATCTTGAAAATTTCGAAACCCACAAAAAATTAATATGCCATATTTTCCCTTAAAACACAGCTCTTGTATCAAGAAATTTTTTATTAAACGCATAATTTAAAAATTTATTTCAGGCGTGCAATTTACGTGAATCACCCTGTATAATTCATCTAATTTCAGCGTGATTACCAAAAACTTACGTTATATGAGAAAAGCAAGTTATTTTTCACCTATAAAATAGGATTTTTTAAGAGTGATATGAGAAGAGTCTTTTCAAGAAATACGGAGAATGCTTTAAAATATGAAATAAAAGTTTCGAGTAATTTATGAGGGAAATACCTCGACAGTCGGATATATTTTTATGGTCAGAGGCGAACGATTTTCAAGTTCAGAGAACTATGCACCTAGAAAAGGAAAGGGATCTTCAAAAGTTCCTTTGATTTCGCTGCCCCACAATGAAACATTTGACTTTGCTGTTATTTAAAGCTGTCAAACCGAACCCTGCTACACCGGGAGCGTGTAGCATCGAGAGAAACTAACAGACCAAAAGGTTCACGACAAACAATCTATATTTAACGAGCCAAGGGGAGACACCTTTCACGTGTGTAGCTTTGTAGTTACGACGAATTTCCGCTATCGGACGTGTTCTTTAACTTCTTGCGCTGGAATGACGTTGTGCCACGCACGTCGACAATTTTTTGTCCCAAAATTGTAATATTTCCTTAGTTTTAAGTATATTTAAGTACAACCCAGGCAAAACAAATAATAAATTTATTACTTTTTAATAATTTCTATTCGGTGATATCATATCAATGAGTTCAAAAAGAAAAATAAAGCGACGAATTATCGTATACGGTTTGATCACTCGTCACGGTCCGCAATCAGTTGCCAGCGCAATATTCAGTCTGCGCTGAAACGACGAGAATCTTTTGTCCCAAAATTGCAACATTTTCTCAGTTTTACGTATATTTAAGTATAACTCGGACAATGTAAATAATAAATTTATTACTTCTCAATAATTTCCAGTGATATACCGACGAGTTCAAAAAAAATGCGACGAATTGTCGTATACGGTTTGGTCATTCGTTACGGTCCGCAATTAGCTGCCAGCGCAAGTGGTTAAGTACGAGTTTCCCTCAGAAGGGACAGTCGAGTATAAAAGGTCTATAAATCTTTCTGTTTGCGACGTGAAACATACAATACCATTTTTATATTCCGTCAGAAATAATCTCATAAAGATTGAAGTAAAAGAGGAGAGTATAAATGAATAAGTGCAACGCGATAAACGAACGTTTGACGTTTCATACACGGTTCTTGAAAATTTCCCTCCTTAACCCCGTCGACCTCTTGACACTGATTCATACTTGCGTAGATTACGATTCACGCGACTTACATATGTGTTTATCGTGATACACTTGTGCAACCTTTCCGCGAATGTCTCGACAATTAAAATATTATCACATGACAGAAAGAAAACTTTTTTCTAATAAATTTGCTCTAAATATTTTCACAAGTAAAAATTTTTACGTTTATTGGACGTACTCTCATGTAAATTTTTACTCAAAATTTCTGACAAATTAGTCTCAACAATTAAAAAAATTGTCACGTGACAGAAAGAAAATTTTTTTCTAGTAAATTTGCTCTGAATTTTTTCACAGGTAAAAATTCTTACGTTCATTGGACATATACTATCGTGTGGATTTTTACTCTAAATTTCTCATGAATGGCCGTTCGAACAAACAGTTGGTAAATTACCGTGGAAAAGCGGATACTTACTTCTTAAACGGGCTGTGAATGCTACCCCAGATGCTGGATCTGGTCGGCGAGGGTGGGCTGTTTTGATGTTGATTGGAATATCCGTACCCGGCGAAAAACATGCTGCCGCAATTGTTCCTCATCTGTGCGCGGAGAAAAAAATACGACTTCCCGTGGGCGAATAAAAATGAGGAAAGGTCCTCGAACCGTCGCACCGTTTATAAAACTACGCGCCCGTACACATACACCCAAATATAATAACACGTATAGTATAAAACGAACTTACAAATAATAGAACAACGACGACTAAGAATAACAAAGTTGTGCAGCGATGCTATAACTACTTGTACTTTCAATGAATCTCTTTGGCACGTATATATTTGGCGCAGGGTGTCAATGTACTCTCGCGAGCTCTCAAACAAGAGCAAACGTGATCCAACACACCTCCTTAGGTTCAGTCTTATTAGAAAATCCGATTCATCCGTGACCTGATAAACACACAGTCGAAAAAAAAAGGTCGTTTCCCTAAACACACAGAGTGAAAAAACTGTGTTAGCACGGTCGACCTATATGCTCCTGGACCGATCAATGCGGAGATAACTCTCGCTCGCTCAAGACGACACGCCAGATGATTCACAAAACACTCTTTTGTCTGTGTCCTCGGACAGGCACGTCTCTTCGCGAAAAAAACACTCTCGCTCTCTTTCGTTTTCTCGAGTCTTCGTTTAAAATTCCTTTCGTTTACATCTGATGCGAAACGTTTCAAGGGAGAAGGGAGAACAACGTCGAAACGCGAGAGAAACAACACCAACACGTAAACGCAGCGCAAACCACCCTGTCACTGAATCAGCAGTCTGTACTTTAGCACGGTCCTTTTAGAGAAGAACAGCAGAAGAAGTTTCCTCGCCGTCGGTCGTCCGTCGTTTTCCATCGCGTCGACGAACAACAAACTACTGTCTTCAATTCGTCTGCGAACTGGAGGATCCTTGATTCTCTCGCGCGAACGTGACCGATATCGTCGAAATATCGTATTTATTTCAGGCGTTGCCTTTGCAGATAACGATTAACGAGTGTACATACGTGCGTGTGTATGTGTTTTCGACGAAACGTAACGAAACGGAAACACCGCACGTGACACCACAACTACGACCCTACTCTAACGATGGACTGAACGCAACTGAAGGCAGGCAGGCAGACGGTTCGAGTTCTGACCGAGGGGAAGTACGAGCGGAGGGTTTAAGGTCGGGAGATTCGTGTGGGGCTGGTCGAAGAGCAAAACGGAGGATCCTATGGACGTATGGACCCTAACCGAATCGGCTAACAGAGAGGCGGCGATGGTGGCGATGGTGGTGCAGGCTACAGCTGCGGCTGCCCCGACGGAGAGATGCAGCGAAGAGAGGCGGGAGATAAAGAACAGACAAAGTGAGGGAGCGCTTCGAGCGATAAAAAACAGATGGAGAGGCAGGGTTGTGAAGAGACGAAACATCGCCGCGTGCATCGGTCAAAAACGCAGTGTCTCTCAATTGGGGATCGATGAGATTGCCCCGGTGTTATGTGAAATATAATGTAAGATAATTGCTACGTCGATCGATCTTGTAGCAGCTCGGTGAGAATGTAGATAATTCAGTGGGGTTAGCTACGAGATTGATTGTTCCTGCTTATTGTTTAATCATTTGTATTTAATCCTTTCGTTTGGAATACTCAATCCTTTAAATTTATTGGAAATTTTCATTTGTTAACGTTTGTTAAAATTTTGTTGAAGAAGATTATTGTTTTAAAGAACCTTTGAACTGAACAGACATTTTTACGCAGTTCGAGATAACTTTTACAACTTCCTTCCCTCCAATAAAGGTTTTGGTTTAAAAAATCCCCAACTTTGATAACATAATATAATTTTATATATATAATATAGATCATTAAGTATCTAAACTTGAAAATATAATTTGAAAACGCATAATCTGAAGCAAATTAATAAGTCAAGCATGCGAATAATAGCATTACTATTTTCATACTGAAGAGAAATGAATTTTATTCAGCAATGAAAATTGTATTGTACGAGTTTTATTTAATATTAAAATTAATTAAAATTGTATGAAATTATAATATGAATTATTATTAAAAGAAATATTTCAGAAATTGACATTGGTATTTAAATATACTTTTAAAACGTTTTAGTTTTACACAACGTAAATAAGTAATTGTACTTTTAAATTTTAACTTATACTTTTAAATTTTAGAATAGATTTGAGAACCACCAAGTGGACAATGATCTTTAACCCTGTTTAATGAGATAGCCATTGTTTAAATAAGTGGGGACATATGAACAATGATAATATACAAATAAAAATAATTATATAATAAAACTTCGTAAGCAAATAAAAATAATAACATAGCTTTAATCGTGGAAAAATAAAAGAAACATAAAATTTAATTTCATGAAGACATCAAACCTTCTCGATTATTATAATTATCACGAACGATAATGTTCACGTAGATCATTCTTTGTATTGATAAAAAAATTGTTGTCGCCCAATACAAACTTCAATATTAATTTCTAACCTCAAAATTTAAGGTTAAGAATTTTGAAGAACGTTGTACAGATGCGTACGTGATATTTTGAATGTATCAACATTTATCCAAAGCAAATGCGATATTTTTCAAAAAGAAATATAACTTTACAAACTTACAATGACAAAAATAAATCGTCAATTTCTTTACGAATAGAGCATTTTATGCAAACTGTCGGTAAAATTGTTTTCTACTATATTTACGATTGTTATTAATTTTATTATTAATATCATAAATATTATTATTCTATGGAATATAAAATACAAGTTGCAAAAACAAATTGTTTGTAGTTCATTTCTCAAAAATCCTAATCTTCAATTTTACTAAATTTACATAAATTATCCCAACTGTACAAAGTGTGTAAAAAAATACGCAGTGAAATACAAAAATCATGGCGTTACACGATTACATTCTTTTCCGAAGATGAATGCGTAAACATGTTGTTAACAAAAACATCTAGTCTTCGAAAAAAAAAAATAATACTACGCAGCAGGCAAATACAATATACTTACATGTCGAAGTAATTTGTCGTAGCAGCCGTTTCGTCCATGAAATTCTCCATTTTTTATCTAATTTCACAATGCACATTACACAAAAAATAAAACGAACGACGAACAAGAACACACATGCACTTTCAAACCGTCAAATTTAAAAACATTAATTCCGAGTGCTCCCGCTGCACGCGCTGATGCACGCTGCACAGCGCCAGTTCTACCAACCTGCAAATTTACACGAATAAGAAATATTCCTAGCGCGTTCGTAACCGATTCGATTGGTGGCAAGCGTGACGGAGTGAGTCACTTGGCAAAACCCCCAGTTAATAAACCGCGACAACGACATTATGTAATTATCTATGCATACAACGAGATAAAAACTACCTCGTTCCTTTCTCAGTCGAGTCACGCAGATATCCAGCGGTTTTTCAGTATATCGCACAATGTTGTGATTTGACCAAGCATTTCGTGTGTCGGTCGGTCGGTTCGCATTTCGCGCTGTTTCCCTAAAACAGGGGACGCTGCCTACGCACATATACGCGTATCGAGCTTCAAAAGCCAGTGATTACTCGAGTGACTGGACAGTATGGCAGTCGTCTGCCCTTAATCTGACACTTTGTGACGCGTGCGTAAAGTTTCGTGCGGCCTCGCGTGTGCAGGAACGGTTCAAGGATGATTCCACAGTTGAACGTAGTCGCGACGCGTCAGTGAAGAATGAACTCTCGGCACGTTGCGTTTTTACTCCCTTCCCTTTAACGTTGCTCCGGCGGCCACGGGATCGCCGCGAATATTGACATTGACAGGTGGTGGTTGTCACATCTTGCGATCGTCCCAATTAGAGGTTATCGCGTCATGTTCGCAACGCTGAAAAATAAAATACGAGAGGAAATAGGGAGTGACGTGTCAACTGTCGTTAGAAACGCCGGCAATGTGCGCGGCATCAACTCGAGGCATATGTCTCAGGTAAACATGCTGTTTCTATGTGTAACTTGTTATCGGCGCGCGTAGCTGATAACGCGACCGCGTTACACATTTATTTGTATGTGGTCTGTGTAATCCGTCGAATCGGTTGTTCTAAGTCCATCGATTGATCTCGGAGTAATACCGATGATTCACGACATTTCAAATTGAACGTTTCTTGCTGTTTACGCGTACGTTTAACAAACTATTCATTAATATTTCATACGTGCGACATTTGATTTTGGATAATCAGACTTGCTGATAATTCAGTTTACTTTAGAGATATTTTTATTAGCTGTAGAGTTTGGAATAGTGCGTTTCAAGTTAATCTGTTTCACTAAACGAAATGTTTGAAATAACATTATAGAAGATAGTTTTTCCAATGTGATATTTACATAATGTAAAATACATTGTTCGTTACACGAATTGAGTTATTAATAATTGACAATATTTGCTTGTAGACGGGATCTACAAGTAGCATCAGTGGATCTCAGATTTCGCTGGATGGTTCACGCGAAGAAAACACAGCCTCTCCTTCTCCACCTGTCTCTTTGAAAAAGGATAATAACTCTGATCTTAAGTTAAGTGACAATATGCAACTTTCGGCTAAAGACGTGAAAAGACTCGAAAGCAGAGAAGATGAATGGCGAAAAAGGTTGGCGAAGAAAGAAGCAGAATTGATCAAACGAATGGAAAAGAAAGAGGAGGAGTGGAAGGTAAAGCTCGTCGAAAAGGAGAAAGAATGGAGGAAAGTAGTTGAAAAACAGGAGAAAGATAAGAGCAAGTTGGAAGAGGAATTAAGAGATGTACAAAGTACCAAACATTCGTTGGAATTGGCCCTTAAAGATGCAGAAGGTACACTTGTGGTTATACAATAGAAAATCAAGCGATAAAATAATGTTATGTGATGTCAATTTTAATATTAAGCTGCAGAAGTAAACGTAGAAGAAAAATGTACAAACGCAAGTTTTTGTATTTCAGAATATAAGAAAAAATTATATAGCTTTCAAGAAGATGCGGAACAACTAGAAGGTTTCCAAACTCAAGAAATGGCAAAAATAAAACATCTAGTAAGTTTTATGTATTCTGTTCTTTCAAAACCATCATGATTTATATTTTTTTATGTAACTAATTTTGTGTTTATCTTCTTCTTTAATTAAGTTACTGGCAAAAGAGCAAGAGGTAGAGGAAAAAACGCATCATTTAAAAGCGGCCATTGCAGAAATTGACAATTTAAAAAGTGAAGTCTCTCGTCTTAGAAGATACGAAGATGAATTAAACAATGTACAGGTGAGTAATTTGATAATTGCTTTGATTTTAATTGTCATATGAAATAGACTATAAACTTCAAAATTATATTCACATAATTATTTAATATAATTGTGTTAATATAAATTGCTTTGATGATTAAATATATTTACATGAATTTTTTTATTTCTAAATATATTTTAAATTTTCTCCCCCAAAAAAGGTTTTATATTAAATTATACGTAAATATATACAACTATTATTTTACATTTAATATTTTGTATTTACTTTTTATTTACTTATAAAACATGCAAAATTTTACGGTTTATATCTTTTAAATAAAAATAAGTTATTCCATCATAAATTTTCCCCTGGCTATGAATATTTTATAAATTAAGTTTTACTCTGTACAATTAAGGATTTGAAATATGGAAATCGCCGATCCGATAAAATGATAATTAAAATTTGTCCTTGATTCGTCAGATTATAATTTAAATTTATCTTTGTTGCAACAATATTATGTTTAATAAATGCAAATTACTATTGCTAATAAATTAATTGTGTAGGTATAGTGTTATATAAATAATTTAGTAATAATTTGATTCAATAGTAAACATTAAATGACATTATTTTGTTATGAATTGACTTTTCAATAGTAGCTTTTTACATGTAGCATTTTATGTTATAAATTCATTTATAACATTAAATTTTTTTTTTAATGAAAAGAGATAAAGCTGCATGAAAAAGTTGATTCCTTTTACATATATCACAATGTTTCTTTAAAGATGATTTATCAATTATTATATAATCATGTGGTCTGCTATAAAAATAATGACCATAATATATTTTTTTAGGTATAAGCACGCTTTTTTTTTAAGAATCAGTTTTGTTTTTAAGCCTCCCACTATTTCTCTTCCCTGTTTCTTTTTTTTTTTTTTTTTTTTTTTTTTTTTTTTTTTTTTTTTTTTTTTTTTTTTTTTTTTTTTTTTGTTCCTAAATTTTATATATAGCTTTTTGTTTTGTCATGGTTGGCCATGTTTTTGTGCACATTTTTTTGTACTGACACATAGTATCGATGATAAACAGGTGATATTTAGTCAAGAGTCTTAATTATTTGAACGTTTAGAATATTTGGAATATACTTTAAAATAAAACAAACGAGCATATGTTCCATAACGCATTTGTACTCTTGAAATGCGCTTTTAATACTTCAATAGGAAGTACTTACTTCCATTTTATTAAACTTAGTTTGGGAAAGAACAGGCATTTTGTTTGAGTACAAACAAATTGTGAAAGAACAATATTCTTTTATTGGTTATGGAACATGAGCAAAACCTAAGTGATACTGAAAGTTTTGTGAAAACAACATACGCATGAAGATTGGAAAACTTTCATAAACGAGAGCATTGGAGATCAGAGTAGGCGGTATTTTCCGCTAATTCGCTGCTGCTACCGCTGATGCTAGAGGTACGTCTTCAAAGCTTTGCTGCTATTCTGCAACATTAATAACTTCTATAGATTTTACTTACATCAATGTTGCTCTTTATGTAATTCTCTCCTTGGTGCAAAATTTTATAATGTAAGAGAAATGCATGTATTAACTAAGTGGAAGTGGTTTAATCGTTCAAAAAAAGAAAGAAATTTTTTCATCTTGTTATAATAAAATTTCAGTTTAAATGTCCAAATTGTTTCTACTGCAGTACTCATACTCCAATGTTGTTACTCTCGTAACAGCGTGGAACAATTAATTATGTCAAACGACAAGATTGCCTATTAGAAGATTAAATTTTTGTCATATCAACATTTAGCAATTAACGGAAAAAACTTGAATGAAGAATTTTTGAACAAAAAGTTTATTCAACACCGTTTATTTTTTGCTTCGTAAAATTTTTTTCTCCGTTCTGTTCACTTTCAGCATTATTATCATTAACAAATAAAATTCATCATTCGCTTGTTCTTGGCTTCATAAGGTTTGGATTATTTACAATATTCTATTCATCTTTATTAGCAATGCTTTGGTAAGGTTTGCAATGAAGCTTTACAGAGCAATATGTAACAATGATAAATATAAAAATACATTTCTGGTAATAATATCATCATTTTCAGGATGAAATGGAAACACTGCGTCATTCAACTCAGCGTGAGAGAGCTCAGCTGTCCTGTCAACTGGCGCAAACTGAAGAGGAAGTACGCCACCTAAAGGATAAAGTTTTTGTGTTAGAGCAAAGAATTGCATTAGAGAGCAACGATCAAGTGACAGTGGACGAAAGGGTAGCCGACCTTATGAGAGAGAGAGCGTTGTTAGAAAGAAAATTAGAAGAAGCTCATCTTCATTTATCCGATATAAAGACCAGTTGGTCGGGGAAAATATCCAGCTTGGAGACGCAAGTTGGAAGACTTAGTAGACAGGCTGGTGAAGAGGGTTTGGAAAGGAGACGAGTTGAAGAGGAAAGCGAAAAACTAAAGCAAAGGATTAAGCAGCTAGAAGCTGAAATAGAGGTGAACAATGTTGTCATGGCGACGAAAGACGCCAAGCTTTTGCGCATGGCAGAGGACATCGACGAGATGGCCACGGAACTAAAAGAGCTCCGGGCCAGCGTCGATGATGAGGTGGACGAATTTAAACGACAAATTGTGAGTTACCGCGATATGTAGTCGTGCATGGGCTAGATTGTTTCGAAGAGGATGTCCTGTTAGAGTTTTAAACGCAAAAAAAAAAAAAAAAAGAATGCAAACATTCCCTAGTTGTTGAGCGACAATTTTCAAATGATCACAGCATTGAGTAATAGCTTTTTAATTCTTTTTTTTTTTTAATGTGTAACAATAGCATTCAACACATAGATATATTTGTATATGCTATATTATATTCCTTGTTTATTATTAGTATTTTCAAAGAGGAACTTGATGATGAACTTGTGTCTCGAGTTTTGCGAACTTTGTTTGTTAAATCGAGTAACTGTGGTCATACAAGATATGTTTAGTTGACCTGATTTATTATAATTGTTTTCACGACTTTACAAAGTCTCACTGAATGTTTATGACATTACACTACAAGTGTGAGAACATTGGAACACGTAAAAGCATAAACGTGTAGAACGCGTATACACGAACGTGTTGTTATAATTGTAATTGAAAACTACATATCGCCTATATACTTGCATGTTATCTCTAAGATGCTTGACGCTTAACGCACAGTACATTTTTATTTTACGCATATTTTTCTAGCACACACTCTCTTTTATTTATCTTCATATGCATGCAAAAACTTACAATGTATATTATATTTTATCGAGATCAATATCACGTTATCAATAAACAAAATAATTGTAGTCAACTCTTCTTAAGACCCTTGACATTCCCGCGTGTATTTGTACATGAAAATTAGATAGTACCGACAATAATATTTTTATGTACGATCGCATTTCTGTATATTTTATTTATGGAATAAAGAAAGGAACAAATAAATTATATCGTTTATTGCATTCGTTTTTTGTGCTTGTTTTTAAACCCATTTTTATATCCCCTTTTCTCAAGCGGCTTTTTATATATTATTATACACACAAATGTGTACACAATTTTTTTCTTACAGGGTTAATAAATCGTATGTTATATTTTGCTACACCAACGACACAGTCCGATTATATTTACGTTGCTGTAAATATTAGGAATGCGTATCCAGACTGATACAATTGAAAGGAAACGTATCGTACGTCATATAGAATAGAAGATAGAATGGTCAAATAGAATTGAACATTTTGCAGAATGACAGAAGATACTCTTTAAATTAATCAAATGTGTTCAAAGTAAAATTGATGTGACCGTTGGAATTGATGGCGCAATCCAAAACTATTTTGTTTGAGTATTAATTATTCCATGAACAGTATAATATAATAAACAAGAATATTAATATATAATAATGACAAGAAACATTTCACGTTCTCTGTTTTTATACATACATTCACATAAATTTACTAAAATTGATAAACTATGATAATATCCTACTCAATTTTTTTTTAATTTCTTCTCTTTCACTTTGCACTGTTCTTGATAAATTTGTAGGTTCTGAGTATGATTCAAACAATTGTCAAAATCACAAGACTATAAAGACTATAAGTAAACGTCTTTTTGTGATTTTTATTTCACTGATAAATCCGTTGTGCCATAAATTCCAAAGGCACGTGCAACGAAACATGATTTCACAAATTCAATCATTGTTAAATTACAGTTGTATCGCTTAGACGTTATTACGATATTAGATACCACTCACGTCGTTTTATTGTTTGCTTCTTTTTTTTGTCAGGAATCGTCGTCGAAGCAAATAACTCGGCTGAAGCAAAACCTGGAAGAAGCGACGGCGAAACTGTCGACTGCAACTTCAGAACTGGCTCACGTTCGTCTGGCCCTGGAGGGTGAACGAATGAATAATTCCTCGTTGCATTTGGAAGTAGCGCGTTTGAGGGAAGATCTGGAATCCGAGAGGACAGCGTCGGCAACGTTGAAAGTGTGCCTGGACAAAGAGAAAACTGAGAAGGACACCGCGCTGTTGAGAAACGCTCAAGTGTCCCAGGACATAGAAATGGTAAAGCAGGAGAACCGCCGACACGAAGGTGAGAACATTGAACTGCAAGGTAGAGTGGAAACTTTAGAGCACGATCTGCAGTGTAAAAGTAAAGAGATAGAGCAAACGATGACGATGCTGGAAGAAAATAAACAGAGAATATTGGAGTTGGAGGAAGTGGAACAAAATAGAAAGAAAACGGAGAGAAGCGAGAAGCTGCTAAAAACCAGTTTAATGGACTTGGAGGAGCAGCTGAATGAAAAGACTAAGGTAGACCTTGGAAAATGTAGAACGATGAAAATATATTTCAAGCAACGAGATTGTTAATCGTCAGGTATGTTTTTAGACAATCAAGGTGTTACAGCAACGACTGACTGATATGAAAAAGACCCTTCAACGCGAGTTGAGAATCCCGTCCTCGTCATTGGACAGCGATGCCGAGCCTTCCGCAGCGATTCTCAAGCCCAGTTCGTCGAAAACGGTCACTGCCAGGCACAATAGCACAAGAGACGACGATGTTAACTTTAAATACCTTAAGCACGTTCTTATAAAGTTCCTAACAAGTAGGGAATATGAGGTAAAATATACCAAAACCGCAATACACGAAATAAATTACCGGAAACAGAATGTTAAAATATGTATTTTTTTTGGAAAATTTGAAAAAATATGCTTAGGGTGTCTTTCATTTGTTTTCTAATTTACGTTTTTGCTTGTCTGTTCAAGGCTCTTCATTTAACGAGAGCAGTAGCTACTCTTTTGCATTTTTCACCCGAGGAAGAGCGGTTGTTACAAGAAACCTTAGAGTGGAAAATGTCATGGTTTGGCACACGGCCTAATTTAGGTTTTGGACAGACTGCCAAAGCTATACCGCCTAGCTGATAGCTGAAACAAATTCCCTTTCCTGTAGGTATCATAAAAATGGCCACTGATTCGTGGATAAAGTCGAAAAATTGGGTCACGTCGGTGATCAATCGCAAATGATTATAAACAAAAGATTAGGAGAAGAAACAGATGGAAAATGTTTATAAGCTAGAAATTTCATAAATTTTGTAAAATATTTAGCATTTATATCACGTGTATAATTTACTAAAAACGCGTGGACAAAACATTGACTGTAGTTAGCTTTAAAAACGCCCAGTTAAATACGTAGGTAAACCGAATGTTACTTAGGTAAATTTGTAAGTCGGATGTAAAAGAGTTTTCGTCACACACTAACATTATGACAGACGAATTAGCAAAAATATCTAACTATGTGCAACGTATAATATCATCTTTTTCATATACAAATGGTAGAATATACATACAATGCTCATTCTGCAATATTATAACAAAAATTGTAATCAAGTATCATTTCTATATACGAAAATATGACGTGAAATACTTTGTTATAAAGTTCAATATTACTTTTATCATTCTTTGGTATATATAAATTTTGGATATAAAATAATTTTTGCATATAAAAATTATGTATACCATATTGTCATATTTATTCCACGTTTAATGAGTATAACTTTTAAAAAACGTGAAATGGTTATATGACGTGAACAATTTAGCATTCACTTTAAGAAAGCCTCGAGACTTGGCTGCAAGTCGATTATAAATATTAGAAAAAAACCTATCTCATTATCGCTGATATCGAAGCTATGTATAATTGCCATAATTATTATTTGTGATATGGACATTGCAATAGTATCATGTTCATGGTTGTAAATATTACTACGATGACGTTTCTATAGGCATTATTAAAGTCAGGTGAATTTATAATAAAATGCTTTGTTTAATTTTTCGGTTGTCATGTTCATCTGTGGTAATAATAATTTTGTGAATCTTGTGAAATTATTTTAACGATAATAAAATTTATAATCATAAGTAGGAACTATCAATATAACATTATATTTCATTAGACAAAACGTGTGAGAAAGTTATTTTGAAGAATTAAAATGTTCATTTATTATAAAATTTTATGAATTTAGTTTTTAGATTTGAATATTCGTTATGGATTTATCTATTCGTTAAATTTTTAGAACTTTATTTTCATTTTCTCTTCTCTCCTCGAAATGCTATATCGTTATAAATTATAAAATGTTTGATCATGAATATATCTTCAAATTAACAAAAGAAATTATCTTCTAAGCTTTGAAGATCATATTTTAGTACGTATGATGTGATTTAAGGAATAAATCAAGTCGTTGCACGTTATATAAAGTGTAATTATTTATTTACAGCAACCTGTATCAATATAGTATTGATTAATAATATACAAGTCGATAATAATATCTAATAAACAATAAAATTGTCAATTTTTATAAAATTTTATAGTCTCTAATGTATTTGAATTTCCAAATAAAATTCAAATTAGGAAAATTTCACGAAATGTACAATTTTACAACATATATTAATTTCAGAGTTTATATATTAATTTCTGTGCAATTATGCAATATTTTTTTGTATATAAAAATATAAACAGAGTCGTCGCTCACAAATCAATTAAATAATTATTCAGAAACAAATTAATCAACTTGCAAGATGACTAGCGCAATTTTTGTAAAATACGTATTTGAATTTTATCAATTGTCTATACAAATTTTAACGTGAATGTTGTTTAGATATTTCAGAATTGAGAACATCTATACGATATTTCAAGTATCAAATCTACGAAGATCGGACATACAGATCACAAACCCAAAAATTCTAATAACCCTTAATAACCCATTGAAATAAAGAATTATTGAAAATAATTAGTTGCACCATTACTTTGGTCACCGTTACTTCGCTATTAAAACATATGTATAAATACAGAATTCTAGCTACAACAAACTATTACTTTTAAGTAGTTCAAAGTGGAAGTGAAATTGTGTTTGGTTAAGAGTTAATTCCTTTTAACAAACTTATATACATCTATCGTACTCTGATGGAGCTAGTAGAATAAATTGAGCTTACGTATAATATTATTATGTTTAGTCGTCGTATATATTCACATTTTTTTGTTGAATGTTATTCTATATCGGCATTTTGGTATAAACGCAAACTTGGGGAGTGCAAATTGAACAAACATTTATAAATAACGAATTTGCAAACGATTATGACGTGGCACGTTACATTTAAACTAAATACTGCAGACATAAGTAATTCATCTCCTTTTGATCGTTCTATGGTAAGCAAAATAGAATTACCTAGAAACCTGAGAAATTTCTACACGCTCTTCGTGTGCAAAATTAAAGTATATACTTCTTATGAAAAACCAGCGTTACCCATTAAGAATGACTTTATTCGTTGCTATCTTCCTATCTACAATGCCAATTTCGCCTTACGCTACGGACCGTTTCATTTGATTAAAAATGTACACAGTATTTATAAAATAAACAGGAACATGTCACCATATTCGTCTCTCGTCGTTGATGACAAAAATGTAATTTTGTTTTCTGCTTCGTGAGAAGACTCTCTTTTTTTTCTTCCTGTTCTTTTTTCTTTTTTTTTCTTTTTTTTTTTTTGAGCCCTCGTAAAAATAACTCTCTCTCCTCTTTCTCTTACATAAGTTCAAGAAACATCCGTCTGTAACTCTATGGTTTTTTATATATATATATATATTTATATATATATGTTTGATGTTATTACATAAAAGTTCTATGCATTGTATCTACAAGGCGTGTGCAGAAAGTTATGTTCACGTTGTAAAAAAAAGTTTACACCTTCGTCTCTAACTTTTACAAGTGTATATTCGACAATCGTTTGATGTCGCGTTAACGGGTGACGTTAGCGCGCAACAACTAGAACTTTCTCCTTCCGGAGATGATTTCCTGATAAAGTTCTGGCGTGATCTCGACGTACTCCTTGTTACCGGACAAGAAGTACATCTTGTCTTGAATTTTACTCGGGTCGAAGCCTTCCTTCTGAAGGTTCATCTTCTTCAACTTGAACGTTCCAGTTATCTCGAGTTCTTTCACAATTCGCAGAAAAATTGGTCTCGCGTATGCTGGCAGTGCTTTCTCTAAACCTTCGGCGAGGGTTTTGAAGTCCAGAAGGCTGTCTGGGTCGACTATCGCTGCCATTCCTGCCCTTCCCTCCATTCCAGGCACCTTCAATAGGTATTAAGAATAATCTTAATGAAGATATTGCGATTAATTCACGTTTTTAGATTCGACATTCTTGAGTGAAACTTTTAAATGAAAAAACGAAAAGAAGATTTTATATTAATGATTAACTCTTGTTTCTTTTACGAGTTAAACAAGATTTTTGATTAAAATTCGTGTCACGTCAACGTTACATTGGCTATCTTTCGTCAACGAACCTGAACTCCGTAAACAGTGGCGTCTCTTTTCCCTGCAATGTTACTGATAACTCCTTCCACTTCTGCGGTGGCGACATTTTCCCCCTTCCACCTAAATGTGTCACCTACTCTGTCTTTGAAGTAAATGTAACCGTACTCATCCTCTACTAAAATATCACCTACGAAGAGAATTGCAAAAATATAAAGTTTCCTTCTTTCCCAATAGAAATTTTTAATTAACGAGCTTTATGTGTAACTCACCTGTTAAGAAAGCTTTGTCACCTTTGACAAACACGTCTTGTATTATCTTCTTTTGCGATTCTTCTTTATCTAAATACCCATTGAACTCTCTTAATGCATTCCCTTCTTTTATTAATCCTATGAACATCCCTGGCTCATCTGCAAAAGAATATTCATGTAGAGAATAATAAGTACAACCGTGAAGAATTTTTATAGATACTTTCAACAAAAGTTGTTTTAGTATTAATACCAGTGTTGAATTCTTACTTGTTTCCGCTCTTATGCACAAGCCATTCGAGCCTCTAATAGGCTCGTACGTCTGGTTATTTACGCGGATAATTGCCAGAGGATGAAACACTCGTGGCACAATTAGTGGCACAAAACCGATGGCGCCAGTTCGCCCGTCTAAGTTGGCTGCGATGCAATGACAGAGAAAAAAGAAAACAGTTAAGACCTCCAATGAAAAAATAAAAGAATCACTTGCATTAATCTTAGACTGTAGACAATGTAAATACAACGCATACGCGCAATTTAAATACTAAAGGTAAACATAAAAGTTGTTGCAGTAGAAGAATAAAGGACATAATGTAAAAGAATTGAAGATCAATATTGAATACTGCAGTTAACATGATGTAATTGGCAATATTGGCTTACCAATATTGGCATTGCCCTCGCTGGACCCGTAAAACTCAGAGACCCGTTTGATATTGAATCGTTTGACAAACTCGCTCCAAATCTGCGGCCTCATGCCATTCCCAAACATAAGCCTTAATCGATGAGCATTATCTTCCGGTTTCGGTGGTGCGTTAAGCAGGTAACGGCACATTTCACCGATGTACTGTGCCGCCTAACAAACAAAATTCCAACAGTTCAATGAGAAAAGCCTGTCACACTAGAAAACGCAGGATTGATAAAAGTTCATTGCCCTATGAATTACGAGATAGTCATTAGTTAAAGAAAACACTTATGATAAATTGAATGTCTTAAGTGTACTAGCGATATCAGTAAATTAATCGGTTTTCGTAAATCGATAAATCACTCGCGAAACATAGAAATGGCATCGTACGTGTGATTTTAATTATGTTTGTTCGCAAGTTGTTTTTCTTCAGTCTTCAGATGGATCAATGAATTCATTGTCGCGGCGAGAAACGAGCAGCGTTAATTCGACCATTAATTTCGCTGACATCGCTACAAAGTGTAAAAATTTTGTAAATCACCTACGGTACAATTATACTTGATGCAATCTGTCCAATATGCCGACACTGAAAACTTGGTCCTTAACACGGTTGGTATACCTTTCAGAATCGCGAAACCCACGCCGAGCATTCCACCGGCTGTGTGATACAATGGATTCGGATTGTATAGGATATCGCTCGATCTCAAGCCCACCAAATTAAAGGGCATTACGACTAACAAGTATCTGCAACACGTAAGATTAACACAAAGTGAAATATTCCATCGTAAAATGCGACGAATTATTTGTAAAATTAAAAATGATATAATATATATATAATAACAATATGAATTATCATTTATAATAAATATAATTTATATAGTAATAACATAAATTATTATTTATAATAAATATAATATATATATCTATATATATATTATAAATTATTATAAATATTATATATATGTTATAAATTATAAATATAGTATAATTATAATTTATATTATATATATTATAAATTATTAGAAATATTTATAATTATTATAAATATTACATATATGTTATAAATTATAAATATAGTATAATTATAATTTATATTATATATATTATAAATTATTAGAAATACTTATAATTATTATAAATATTACATATGTTATAAATTATAAATATAGTATAATTATATTATATATATATATTATAAATTATTAGAAATATTTATAATTATCATAATATTATTATAAATATTATATATAGGTTATAAATACAGTATAATTTTCAGTTTGAAAGAAAAAAACGCTCCACGATTTGCGACTAAGTAACTTCATCTTTTTCAGGGCAAACGCTGCCTTCGAGATTTGCAAGTCAAGTTTCATTAACACTTTTTCCCCCTTCATTTCATCCGAAAGAATTTACGACAAATCGAAATGGAAGTTGGCACAGGAGAAGCTACGAAATTTTATTAGTAAAACAGTCATAATGCAAGCAGACGGGAAGCAGTCTCCGGGTAAAGCGACTACATTTACATGTAATCTCATTCTCGACGAGTCGTAAGGCTTTCCTGAGAGGATTATAGATCATTTATACGTTCAGCAGGGAGATAATTCATTCTGTACACGGTGCTCTGCCAAAGGAATGAAAGTCTAAAAAAAAAAAAAAACAAAGAAAACCTTCACTGAAAATTGACCTCAATTCATTTGTCACTTTTTTTATATCTATCAGAGAATGAAAATGAGATATTTCCAACGACTCTGTTGTTTGCAAAGTAAACGTTGTTTGGCAAAGATATTTTGTTCATTAATGTATAAGGTAAATTAATTACCTTGTATCCAAAATAACAAAAAGTTCTTACAGTAGCACTGCATTAATACTTAAATTATATTTATTGTGTTTTAAGTAAATAGAATTATCTAAACTTCCAATTATCGATTCTATAATTTTATCATAAAGTTAAATTTAAAAATTGCTCACGAATACATAATTGAAAAAAAGAAAAAAAGAAAAGAAGTTGATCGTTGATTTGCAAGCGTGTAGAAGGTTGTTTTAATCTGTCGTGGCCTAGAAACAGGTAGTCGATATTTTTACATAATAAATTGAGTTTTGTACAACAATGCTATGAACTTTGATTACTTTTTTGACGTAGAACTACGTCTTTGCTGATATCGAATAAGGATAACTCAAGGAATACGAACATGACGAAAGCACACCGTAGCAACTACTTAGAAAACAAAAAAGAAATTTTTTTTCTCTTTTAGAAAAGCTTTTCTTTTTACCTCGAATTGGGGAGTATTGCAACCTTTGGCAAACCAGTGGTACCACTCGTGTAAATGTAGAGCAGCTTATCACGATAATTAGGCTCGTCCTTCACCACTGGCTCATTAATACTGGCCTCTGACAGAAGTTTGTTTAAATCGCACACACCACTCTCGCATATCTGAGATTTGAAACACACTTTGTACCTCCCTATTCCCTGAATCGAGTCCTTAATATCGTCGAGAGCTAAAAAAAAAAGGAAAAAAGAAAAGAAGGAAGTCATTGTTACGTCTACAACGTGCAGAATTGAAATACAAATAACACTCTTATTGTTAAAAGACATGTGCTTGAGCGTCTCTCTTGTTTGAAACAAGATTGTTACGTCGAGATAACGAGAATAACATTTTGCTAATCAACAGACAAAGATCACAAGTTAAACACACTATGATCATCGTTGAAACGACGAAGATTGAGAAAAACTGAAATCTTTTAATCATTGTGTATATATACACATATATATATTCTCATATCTTTATTTGATCTCATTCCACATGTTGAATAAGAACTTCTTTGTATGCATCTGAAGAGCAGACGCTGCTTCCTTTCCCTATCTTTATTGAATTACTGAGTTTACCAGACGTGTACTCCTCCGTGTAAATAATGCTCTTCACTTCGGCGATACGGAGACAATGGATCAACGACTGTAGTCGCAAATTTGTGTTGATCAGTGCTGTGACGACGCCGATTTTCCCCAGGCCGAGCCAAATCGCGACGTACTCCGGCCTGTTGGGCATCATCAGAGCCACCGCATCCCCTTTCACGTAGCCAGCCTCTTGAAAGACACGCGCTATCTGGTTGCTGTACTTGTTAATCTGAAAAAAACAAATAAGAGTATAATATAAATAAAGTTATAGAATAAAGTTATAAATAAAGTTATAAAATAAGTTATAGATATATTATTCTCTTATTTGTTTATTATATATATAATATATATATATATATATATATATATATATTACTTATTATAAGTAATAAAAACAAATAAGAGAATAATATAAACAATAAGTTTACCAAAAAAAAAACAAATTAAGAGACTGATCTCGTAAGTAATCGATTGAAATGACTGGAGACTCGTGACTTTTCTACCCACATCGGAATACGTCCAAACTTGGTCCTCGAAGAAGAAGCAGGTCTTGTTAGGATAGCGGTCCACTCTTTTCTTGAATATCTTCACCACCGTCATGTTGTTCCGGCGCTGTCCTTTTACCTCGATCTCTGCCGAAATGGCACGATACAGAAATCTAGAAAATTTATACGATAATAAGGATTAAAAAATTTAATAATAAAATTTAATAAATATTAAAATTCAATAATAATAATTTAATAAAGATAACAAGAGGGGTTAAAATTTAACAATTTCGCGGGGGAAATTAAAAATTTGACAATGCGAGACTTTTTTAATTGTTGGAGCAAGAATTTTTTATTTAAATTGTTTTGACACATTGACATTTTACAATGTCGAAAGACACAGGATTAAAACCTCCGACACTAATAATTGATCCTTTTTTAAACCAGTATTGGCATATATTACTTTTCTCGTTCGAAAAATATTGATTTTCGCGGGAACAAAATATCGGAATCTTTTGTTTTAGTTTCACGGAAGGGCAGACACATTCTCTCTCTCTCTCTTAGAGACAAAATACGATCTTCATTTTTTGAAGCAATAGAGTTGAAACAAATATTTTTATCTAAATCGCGGAAGCTAAGAAAAATTATCGACACGACACGAACTTTGTTAATTATTTGAATTGAAGGGTTTCAATGAAACAATAAATACAGGCGAATTCATTTTCAGAAACGAGAACAATTTCTGCAATTTGTCCCGAGAATTCTTTTGCCTAGAATGTTTACAAATTGTAGAATTTTAAAAAAAGGTTATTTAATTACTGCCAGACAAGTGGACACAAATTATAAGGCAAATACAAAGGTCAACGTTGATGAATAAAAATTTCAAGATAACATTGGCGCTGAGATACGAGTGCTCTCTCATTCTTTTCTGCCATTTATCGTAAAAAATCAGCGACAGAGATAACACTCTTTTCTACGTCGGATAAAACATGATATAATTGTTAAAATGAAATAATTCTTTACAAAAAAAAAAAAAAAATATTCATTCGTGTAACACGCTATTGTTAATAGCATATTGCTAAAATTATAATTAATATAATAATAATAATAATTTTATTTATATAATATTGCACAGATAACGCGCATATCGCGTTTAAAATTGTAAACGAATGAATAATATTCGAAACGATTTAATAAAAAAATACATATATGTAATTATATTGTAATAATATATATTATTATATATATTGTGTAATATATATATTATTCTTTAATAATATTTAATTAATATTACAATATTTAATAATATTGTAATATATATTATTATTTAATAAAAAAATATGTGTGTATTTATATTGTAATAATATATATTAATATATTATATTTATATTATATATTATTATATTATATTTATATTATAATTAATTATATATATATATATATATATATATATATGTGTGTGTCTTCCGATGTATCGACAGTACAATATGTCTGACATAATGAACGATCTACTGATTTCCCTTTGTGTCTTCTAATTTTTTTCTTTATAACCGACGATTAAAGCATAAAATTTCCATCAGAGACACTGAAGTGAAAAAAATAAAGAAACTTTATATAATACAATGGATTATACAAGCTTCTATTTGTACATTTTGCGAAAAATTATTTAAATCTTTAAAAACGGTGTTTCACCGCGTCTCTGAGATATCTAAACAAAAATTATAAATTGGTTCATAAATTTCCACCACTTTGGTAGGTTTAGCGTTAATCGTAGTTAAAAATTATACGGTTCATTCTTCTTTGCTTGCTTTAATTCCCAATCGTGTGAATTCATTTTTATATGTTTGAACTTTTATATTCTTTTTTGAATTCTATGCATTCGTGTCTTTGCGAATGGTCGCATATCAGTGTTATCGTCGAAAAATAAGTGGAAGACAGATTCAAACTGATTTGTTAATAATATGTGAGTTAAATGCATCACGTCTGTACGATTAACTGTATCGGGATGAACTTTGGAATTTCGATACGTCAAGAAAATAAATATTAAATTGATTAAAAATATAATGTATACTTGAAAAAACTGGATTGATCTTTTATCATCAATATATATATAAATTAATAATATATTAACAATATTAACATTCGTTAATCAATTTCTTTGCAATATGCATCTGACTGTTTACATGCAAAATATAGTTCAATTCAAGTATAGAAAAACATACAGTGTAAGATGCAAAGGTTCAATAATCCCATGCTATTCCATCTTACACTTAACTTTTAAATGTTGTCGTGACCCAATCTATCAAGTTAACCCTTGTATTCAACAATCGAAGTTCGTTTATCCATCAGATGCTATCAGAACCATATTTTTTTGCACGAGGCAAACAATGTCACTCCCAATAACACTTTGCCCTACTATCATCCGACGGCGCGAATATAAAACAGATATGAACAGACACAATGTACTTGGCAATTTTTCTCTTATTTAACGGTTCTTTTGATCAACAAGCGAAGCCTTGCACGAGTCAATAACCTATGATGATTCAAGAAATCTGCTGTATTAATGCACATCAACATCCTTTCCCCCATTATTAAAAGAAAGCAAAATATTTTCCAGAGAAGGGATCCATGTGGAAATTGGAATTAAACTGAATTCAAGAGAATGGAATTTTCTGTTTATCTTTTTTACAACTGAAGAAGACTATTTTAATATAAAACAACCGAACGATTATGTAAAAAGGTTTTAGTATGAAAAATGGAATAAATATACTGGGTCTGATCAAATAAAAACTAAAAGGCAAACGATATTCCAACGTCTTCAATGTCTTATATTAAGCTATATAGATGTGTCCTCTGTATCTTATATTATATATAGAATCTAGCGTTCTAATTTTCAAGATAAATTGCATAGTGAATTTTAATATTTTGATCTTTGATCGTTGCAATCTCTTTAATCTTTGGAATGAACTAGTGGAGAAAAAAAATAAGCATACTACTAAATTATAAAATAAGTATACTACTAAATATACTGCTAATTATTACTTATTATATATTTTTTATATTTTATATTTATACATTTTATATATTTTTTATATTTTATATTTATATATTTTATATATTTTTTATATTTTATATTTATACATTTTTTATTTATACATTTTATATTATATTTTATATATATTTATATATTTTATATATTTTTTATATTTTATATTTATACATTTTACATATTTTTTATATTTTATATTTATACATTTTACATATTTTTTATATATTTTTATATATTTATACATTTTATATTTTATATATTTTTTATATTTTATATTTATATATTTTTTATATTTTATATTTATATATATTTTTTATATTTTATATATATATATTTTTTTTTCCTTTTTTCTTTTTGTTTTTGATTTTAACAACACGTAAAAAAATAACACGTGTAACTTCTTAATTATAATATCTGACTAAATTATTTGAAATTTTGCAAATAACTTCGTACAATATAGAATCTTAAATGAAAAGAGTCATAAGCATATTCATGATAATTGCAAAATGGAATAGTGCAACGGAATAGTTTTACGAACGGTAAAAAATTACGAACTTGATAAAACGTAATCAAACGATTCATAAATAATAAGCTCGCCGCGCGATAGCCTTGCAAGGCCTTATGCACTTTAGAACGAGATCAATATATATATAAATAAATGTTCATTTTCCTAAAAGCCTTAACACCTACTCGGCACATTTATGTACGTGTGAGCAAATCAAGCAAGTGTAATTCCCTCGGACGCAGCAAAAATTAACAAAGTTGATGAAGTTTCATATATTCAATAATATTCGATATACAGACGTCAATCTTGATTGATATTCTACGATATTTTGATATGAAAAAAAAAAGAAAAAGATATAATTAATCCGATTAGTCTTCCACGCGTAACGATGATAACACTAGAACTACCGAAGTGGTCAAAAATGACTAATTCATAATTTCTTTTAGATATATTACAGATGCAAAACAGTGTATTTTTGGAGATTTAAATGAAATGAGTTTAAATAAAATGCACGAATAAAAGAATTGTGTTAATATCTCCGATGAAAATTCGGTACTTTAGTCCTTGGTAGTTCTAGTGTCAGAAAAGCTAGATCTTGCTGCGCCTTCAAATTCTCTGAGAACGTATAAAAAACTGGCAAACGATGGTGTCGACATGATAACTTACTTACTTGGATTCAGAGACTTACTTCAGGTCACGAGGCAGAATTTTGCAAATGATGTACAGCTTCCGATGGAATCTGCAGATGACGGGTAGCAACGCCAGAGCGAGCGCGACCTGGGCGATCTTGTTGAACCCGGGGAAACCGAACCTCGTCGCCACAACACCAAACATCGCAGCAATAACACCCAGAGCTAACAGCAGAAGTGTAACATCCATGATCCGGCGTCACCCAGTCTGTTTCGCCGAGTTTCTTGGTGCTCGTGTTCCGAAACTGCGAAATTCAATCACCGTCGGTCAGTTTACTTATAAAATGAACGTGAGAGGAGAAAAAAAAAAAAAAAATACGCGAAGGGACGAGATTCGTAAATATTATAGGTCGGGCGTCGCGCTTCCACACGAACTGAGAGAGAAAAGAGGAAACGCGTCGCCCAGAGTTTCACACGAAGAAAGATTAATTTAATTTTCCATTTTACATATAGAAGAGGCAACCCCCTATGTAGGACGTGTATCACTCTCCGATGTTTCGAAATTACGTAAGGTAACACAATTCAACGGCTTTATTTCCAAGTCGCACCTAGATGCAACGATCGATATGTACTTTTAACATTTTAAGAATCGACGACGTGCCGAAGTTCGTTCTTTTTTTCTCTCTTTTTTTTTTTTTATTTTTTCTTATTTATTAATTTTGTCGTGACACGAAAGCCAAGAGCTTGTTTATCTGAGAGGCGTGCTGCAAGCTACAACCGATCTTCCCTTCGTCAAAGAACTTACACGAAATTAGCACAAGACTCTTTGTTTCAATGAACATGCACCAGAATCGTCCTGGACGGTTGCTTTGTCTCACAGTTACGCACGTGCTACGACAACCGCCGCAACCTTCTGCAACACGGTATGTCAACGATCATTGCTATATTCATATGCAGCGTGTTACGATCAATATTACATCCGAGAATCGCGTAAAACGCCCCGATGAATCTTTCATGCTCGAATCGTTACACGATCGTTTCTCCCCCAATACGAAATTACACACATGACAGAAATCCAGCGTATTTAACAGTAAATTTCGAACAGACAAAACACCGCCGTCAAGTTGGAAGAGACAGTGGGTCGAAGCGACGATGTTACTTAACTGTACGAAATTTTATGCGTTTATACCACTGTTCATTTTCCTTATTTCACAACGATCAATATACTTCGTGTCCTGCTAAATAACGCGCTTCAGCTAACACGATGTACAAAAGCATCACGATTCTCTACGTAATTCCCTAATTTGACCAGACGATATTTACGCAAAGGTTTTCCTTTCTCTCGAGATTTCAAGCGAGACACGTTCACGCGACGCACGAGGATGTACCTTGCTCGTCTCAGGAAGTACGAGAACTTGGTGTACGAGCACGGTTGATCTTGAATTGAAAACCGCACACGGGGGACAGCGGCAGCGTGCAAATCAATAGTCTGTGCCTCTCTCTCTCGGAGCGAAGTATACCACTCCGGACGGTGCGCCGACAACACTAACAGTCGTCAGAGCGACCGACTGGACTGCAGGCGCAGCGTTCCAACGGCACTTCGCTATTGCGCCACCGGCCACCACCAAGAATAAGTCCCGCGCGATAATGCACGCACAAACCAACGGAAAATCGAAGTTTTATTTTAACAAGATCCCCTACCAACGGTGTCGTCCCTCTGGCACCACGTTTCTGTCGCATCGCTACTACACATGCTCGAGCAGGCGCCGTTTTATTTTACGCTTCGTCCCTCTGATTTCATTCGTTCGAAACACACGTATCAAAGATAAATGAAAACTCGGATGAAACCGCTCGGAAACGTTCCTCTTTTTTTTTACGTAAAAAGCGCTTGCAAATCTGCAACAGCGATGGACCTTGCCAAGTTTCTTTTTTTCTTGATTTTCTTTTTCCGAGTGAGAAAAGTATAGGTACTTGCGTCTTTTGACTGGCAAACAGTAATTAAACGTCAAACAAGTAATTATTTTAGAATGACCATTTGTGTGTAAAAATGAAAATAATAAGTATTCTCCATTTTGCAATTCGTAACTTGGATATACGTAATTACGCAATATATATTCTATCTTTTTTATGTTCGTTTCATAAATATATTTGATTTGTTCATTTGCGTGTAAAAAACATGATTATAATATTGATCATAATTTCAATAATTTTTGTAAGTCATTACGTATGATACTCGTTATTTTTCAACATGAAAATTTCTGTAGGTATTATTTATTTTTATACATTTGTTATTTATTAATGAATTAAAGTATCATAGAATTAATTGTAGATACAATAATACTGCACAAAAATTCGCTCGCATATTTCATAACTCGTAATATTCGTGAAATGATTACAACTTTTAACGCTTTGCCTGTAATTAGATAGTAACATCACTTACATATTAAAGAATAATGAATAATCAGTATATATAGAACATAGAATAATATACAATCGAGAATATACGAACAATAAATTTAAATAATATCAAAGATTATGATGGTACAATAGATAACAAAACAGGTTTCACGTTATGGTTAAATCAGAAAGAAAATTTCAGTACGTATCTCGAATTACTGAAACTTGAATCTGTAACTATCATGTTGAAATAAAACTTAACTTAAATGGCATTTTGAATTTATTAAAATTCATATAAACGTTTGGCAAATTAAAAAAAGTAGATATATTTGAGGCTAATTTGCTCGTAAATACTAAAGCTTAAAAAACTTAAAAACCAACAAATACAGACAAAATACAATCGTTATACATTCTGTTATAAAACTAAATAATCATGCGTTCGCATGTTACAAAAAAATATACGTAATCGAAAACTTAATAAAATAATTTCTCTTTTAATTTATCCGAGTCTTTTATACTGAGCATCAGTAAAATCAAAATTTATAGAAGGAATGTTACATAAGAGAAAGAAAGTTTAATATGGAACTATGCTTTAATTTTTAATCCTTATATTATTGATCTGGTCACAGTAACTTTATTATTCATGATTTATTATTCTTAATACATATTTTATTGTTAATTTTTTTTCAATAGATCGTGTGTTTCTATAACACATCTATTATCACCTAATAAAAAAACAAATATTGTTTAAACGTACTTTAATTAGTTTTTAAACTATATAATTGTTACAATAACGGTTGAAAGTGTTGTTCGTTTTTGATAAAAACATTTTAATCCATGATTTATCGACTCAATGTACGATTTTTAAAATATCATGCTAATAACTTTATACAATTATTAGCCATTCGTTTGCACGACCGTGTACAACCATTTTAACATGAATTATAACATCTAACATTTCAATAGAACTTTGACGAAGAATTTAAGCATGAAAAGTAAATAAATGAAATTCTACTTTACAAATAAACACGATTGACAATTCGCTATCACTTAATTTGAACATACACTTGATACAGGTTTATGTAAAAATGCAGTAATTCTGAATCACATCTGCCATTTATAATCAGTTTGCTATTGAATTAAACTCTCGTGAAATATTAAATAGACGTACAGTAACTAATATATCATATTTTTATTATAGCATTACTGATTCGGAGCTAAGATAGGAAATGATGGGAAGACTTAATGAACGTCCTGAAAGTGAATGTATATTTAAAAATAAGTAGTCCTTAATGGATCTAAAATAGGAGAAGTTAATAGCGATACGATTTGCAGCAATTTACAAAGAAATTACCTAAGTTTGCTGGATTGGATATAATTTTTACATTGATCTACAGTGGTAAATATTCTAAAATAATTATAAATTCCTTTTGTTCAATTCTGTGGACTTTTCTTGTTATATGCATCTACATCTTCTAAATTTAAAATGTCAAATTCTATAATATTTTTTCCTGCAAATTGTCCGAACACTCCATTTGATATGCTACGTTTAACGACTGCAAGACAAGAAACATATTAATCAATGCAGTCAATAATAACCATTAGATAGTCTTAAATATACTGACCATTTGAATTTACTTTTGTCAACATGTATGTTGGTAAATCTTGACATTCACGAGCTATATATGTCCCAATGACTGATAAATCAGTAATTGGCGGTGTAACTACTTTCATTGTTTCACGCACAATTTCTGTATTTACCTCATAATAACCTGTAAACATTATAAAAAAATATATATATATATATATACACATACACATTATTGTATTATTCATTTTTAAATTTGTATTCATTTACTTAACAAAATATAACAAATTTACCATTATACATTTTTTTGAGGAGATCATACATGTTACGTGGTGGTAAGACTGTTTGACGATCAAGTGGCATCACGAAACAACATTGCCCATCAATATCAATGATACCAGTTTTATTCTAGAAAAAAGAAAAAAAATCAGTTGTAGAAAATAATACAATATCAAGCTCTGTTAGATATTTTATATGTTAAATATTCCAACATACAATGTTAAAATCATGTATAAATCGACCTTGGCGCCCACCACGAAAATCTGGCACATCAATTTTCTCATACTGTTCATTCTCCAAGTCAATCTCGAATCGTTCCTTGAAGAAGCTTTTCATATTATCAACATTCTTTGCAATATCAGCTTCCTGTTCTGTAGCTCTCCTCAAACCTTTTACAATTAAACCAGAGTCAACATTTTTCATAATATCCATAGCTTCTTGTTCTGTAGCTCTTCTCAAACCTTGTATAATCAAATCAGAATCCGCCACCAAGCCTTGATGCACCGCGTCCTTGGCGTATGCAGTTTTGCTCGACTTGTCATAGGGAATGCTGTACCATCCAGTTTTAAATCTGTGCATCTGCGTTCTAGCATATTGCCTGTATATGTATAATCCACCAATGACTCCAATTATGAGGATCATCAGTGCAACGAGGAACAGTAAAAACGTTGCAGTCACGTGAATGCGATATATGCTCCTCCGGGAAACAAAATAATGGCCTCCCACGTCAGACTTCAAGCATTGTGCCTCAGCATCCCGTTTACCATTTTCCTGTTTAGATAACTGTATTTAGTTTTGTTGAGTGCTACATATTTCGTGAGCTTTAACGAAAAGAATATTAAAAGAAAAAAATATTATGTACTTGATGTTCGACGATTAAACAGAAGGGGTAACAATTTCCTAGAAATGAATTTAGTCTGTATCAAACTAATTTAATGCAATTCCATCGCTTATCAACGATAATGGTGAATAGGAACTAATCAAACGACGTCATAAAATGTACGATACAGCAGCACCGCGCAAATGACAGAAAGAAGAAAATCATATTTACGCATGCGAATAAAATTATAGAACTGACGAAAATTAATGGAACTGACAGAGAACAAATTCGATAACGTAAATAATGAAAAATTGAATATATTCCGTTTACGAAGGGAGCGAGCAAAATCTAAAATTTTCGTAATTGTTTTTTTCTTTTCATTTCTTATCGTTAACGACATCAAAATATCACTAATGTCAGAATTTGATAAATATCAAAATGGTGCTAACCGCTGTATTCTCTTCGATAAACAACGGTAGTTCCTTCTTCTCGGTAATGGCTTTTGTGATGATCGTCATCTTGATAAATGTTTCGATCTCAGCACACCCTTGAATACCTTTCGCACGAAATTTGATTTCGTGCGCCCGATCGTACAGCCGAAGCAAATAATCACCACACTCTGGCAAATATCTATCGAAAGTATCACAACGTAGGTACAACACTACACCCGCAAAATTTCAGGACGAACTACACACACATAAAAGCAGCCGAGATTGATCGGTGACAACCGCGCCCTCAATGTACTAATAAATACGATCTGCGCATGCGCTGACTCCGAGTGAAAGTCGACCGCTTCTCAATGTTTTGTACATATATTTTATATGTTACGTACGTTGTATATATTTTAACTCCGCATATGATATGTACGCTACGTACATATATACCGTTTAACGTACATTGTGTACACAATAAAAATATAAAATCGTAATATTATGATTTCATTTTTTTTTTTATACGATTAGTATTAATCGTATTTTTAACCACGTTACGGATACGCAGGAGTTATGGATAAAATCCAGTGTGCCCTTAAGGATGCTGAACCCAAAAATAAAGAAGAACCAGAAAATAATCTGATTAGAAAGGGAGAAATAATCGATAAATGCACGGAACTTAATCACGACAAATTAGTAAAACTAACTAAAGATACAATTCATAATGTGATTGAGAACGATCCGTTGCTTTCTGGTCTGCCGGCGGATGTCACTATCGAGGAGCTCAAAGCTCAAATCGCAGTTGCCCAAGGACAAGCGATTACTTTGTATCTGAATCGTGGTGAATTACCAAAACTTGGAATTGTGGTAATACATTTTTCCAATATATGGCTTTTCATATTCTTTTAATCATAGATATTTTATTATATTATTATTAATTTCATATATGTCAATAATTTAATGTTTAATATTTGATAATTGAGATGAACAGATTTAATAATTGATTTAAAATTACAAAGATAATCTTCAAAAAATGTTTAAGTTTTAAAGTGATTCTTTGACTTTTAGGTACCTCCTCATAATACTACAGTCTTGGATCTCAAGAAAGCCATAAAACGTCATACAAATTTATCTTTGAAGAGAGAGAAAGTTAAGAAAAAAATAAGCTGGAGACATGTTTGGAAAAAGTACCATCTATGTTTTGGTACTGTTAGATTGATAAATGACAATGAAAATATAAAAGCTTATGGAATCACAAACAAAGCGGAATTATATTATGTAAAACGACGCAGAGAAAAAAATAAACTGATGAAACACTCTTAGTTATATGATATAATATGTAAATACTTTATTTTTGTATTATATATAATAATTTGTATTTCACAAAATAAGTTATATTATGATCATAAATTGGACATCTTGTACATGTTATTTGTCAGTAATTGTTTTGTATTTTGGTTGCTGAACTTGACATGTTAGAAATGGATTGACTTCTTCCAACATGAAACAAGTTAAATCAAATGCTGCAGTCCCACGATAGTTTGTTATAATTAATTTTTTTAAATTAGGCATCCTGTATAGTGCTTCCAGTCCCCTTTCCGTTACGTTTTTACACTCTGATACATCAAGCTGTTCTAAATTTGGATATTCTGCGGATATTTTATCCAAAAACCAGTCATTAATTGTCTCACAACCTTTGAAGCTCAATGTTTTCAAGTAATAAAGATTAAAAATGAAATAGAGATGTTCATATCGTAGAGGATATTCACTTAGATCTAATTCCTCTAACACATAGCTTTCATCATACTTTTCTGGCAATTTTAAAATCTTATCTCTCTTAGTTTTATCCAGCCACTCATCATTATCCTTAAATCTAATTTTACCACCACATTCTAAAACAAATTTAGCTGCTGCCAAATCTGGACCTAATGTAACAAACTTTTTATATTGCTCTGTTTCAACATATTCCTGATAGTTCTCTTTCTGACGTTTCCACCAATACTGCAAACGCAGTGAAAGAAAATCGTATACGGTAGGTGCTTCTACCTTGAAATACATCCCTTGTGGTGGGCCATAAGAAAATTTACCGTAACTTTCTGATCTTTTGTCGACGGTGAGGTGTCGGTTACGTAAATACTGTATAAAATACACAATAGCTTCATAATTATCGTAGAACGAATTTGTCACTTTAGTCTTCAACGATCTATAATCAGTTCCATGTTCAAAAATTTGTTTGAATATCATACGAGTGGAACGTTGGCGTAACATTTTTATTATGCAATTGCATATAACACTGTATGGGTAGTTCCTCTCTTTCCACAAATGGAAGTCATGGATTCACTAACTTAATTTAAAATATATATAATTTATAAAATGTTCATTTAATAACGTTTATCATTAAATTTACAATTGTTATTACGCTTTATTGGGCACGTGTATATGAGATACGTAATGTGTTGTCAATATACTAGTCCAGTTTGCCGCCATAATTTAAATTGTTATGATTTTAAAAATCATCTCAGAACATGGAGAAATTTCGTTTAGATTTATTATTTAACACAGTTTTATATATATATATGTCAGAACAGAGTAAGAAATAATATCACAGATGATCAGTATTGTTGTTTAAAATTGAAAATTATTTCAATAGCAATTGTAATAACTAATTGTATTGAAAAATTGACTTTTTACAGCTTTGTTATTATTGCTGTATTATGTAATACTAATGTAATATGTTTGATATGCTTTTAAGAAATTATTAAATTTACTCGTAAATTGAATAACAAAATAATATTACGTTTACTATTAACACTTTGTATTCATTAATAATACTAATACTAGTATTAATATTAATATTACTATTAACACTAATAATTAAGAGTACTTTAACAAAAAATTAAGTGTTTCAAATGTTTCAAGTATGTAGTTCATGATGTGTAATTATTTTAACCTATATTTCACGAAATGAAAATTTCATGAAAACATGAATTGATATTATAAAGAAAGTATACTCAAGTTAACAAAAAAGTTATAAAATATAAAGTATAGTAAAATACATTTTGCATTTTATTGCAATTATTTCTAGCGAATTGAAAGTTTAAAATTGACATGTCAAACATTTGAACGAATGTGCATTGTACAGTCGGCAGTAATCAATTTACATTCTGCGGTAGTATTGCTTGATATTTTATCGGTGTTACTAATAAAATTACGATACATCTTGCAGCTTATGCCGATATTTTTATGCTGGAAAACGTACATATAAGGTAAGAAAAGAAATATAATTGACAAAATGTAAATTATAAAGTATATAAAATTTTACTTATGATAATGTATTATTATTGAAAATGATCTAATATTCAGTATTATTTATCCTAATTTATTAATCGTGTTTTAATTAAAAGGACTAATTATTTTTGGATTATCATAATAGTTGTTTGCTGTAATTCATTAAAAGTGTCGCCAAAATGATGGAAGATATGCAAGAAGAGGTTAGTATTTTTTTCTTTTTCAGATGAAATACATTTATTTATTTATAAAATTATGTCTACATACATATAGATATAAATGAACTGTGTGTATTTACATTTCAGTGCTTTTTTTATGCATTTATTTATTAGTGATTTTTATTTTAATGACAAAGATTACTAATAGATTATTTTATAATTGATTTAAAAAGCTAATATTTTTATACAACATAATAAATATTTTATTGTTTCAGACCCAATTTGTGGTCGATGATGTAAGCAAAATTATTAAGGAAGCAATTGAAGTATCCATTGGTGGAAATGCTTATCAACATAACAAGGTTAATCAATGGACATCAAACGTCGTCGAAGGATGCTTGGGAAATCTTACAAAACTTCAAAAACCCTATAAATATATAGGTATGTATCTTACAGTCCATAAGAATTCATTTTTTATTGAACTAAAGAAAACTGTTCCAGTGACTTGTACTATAATGCAAAAGAATGGAGCAGGATTGCATACAGCGAGCTCGTGCTATTGGGATAATGCCACTGATGGTAGTTGTACAGTTCGTTGGGAGAACAAGACAATGTATTGTATTGTTTCTGTATTTGGTTTAGCAATTTAATTTGGTCTTAATTTATCAAAAGCTTCATATACTAAAATCTCGAGCAAAAATAAAATTTCATTTAAACAAATTGCAAAAATTATAATAATTGTGGTACAGGAAATGTAAAATTTATTTTATACAATACAATAGCTTTTTCCTTTTAATAATATCATGTATTTTTTATATGCAAATACATTGCATTTTAGATACTAATCATTGTATTTATTAACTAAAATATTTTTTTGTATGATATATATTAATGTACGATAATTAGAAAATATTAGAAACATTTGATTTATTATTTTGTAACTTTTATATAAACAGTACTATTTATTATTTACATTTATGTTGTACACAAAAATTATTGTATCTATTTGCACTTTACAGTACTTAACTATATATTTCACATAACAATTTAACTGTGAAGTTATGTGATGTATGTTAAAGTGCAAAATATATGAATGTTTTTTGAAAACGAATGTAAAGTAAATGTAAATGTTGATTTGTCGATACTGTATTCCAAGTAAATTGGAACTTTATAATTATGTAATATTGCTTGTATTTTTTAAAAGTAAAGTGTAATAAATTATTGGTTGGTAATTATTATTCTATACTATTCTATAGATTTGATATTTCGGACAAGAAATCCTCGTCAACTAAATCTTGATGTAACAAAACCATATTTATATTCAAACTATCGCCAAATTCATCGTCTATGTATAAATCTTCGACTGTATTTTCTTGAACGTCCTGTAACAATATCAAAGTAAAAGTTTGTTATTTATTGTTTTTTTATTAAGTATTTCTACTTATATAAATAAGACTTTTATATTTATTTATACAAATAACATTTTTATATTTTTAAGTAGTTACTAAATAATTAATTGTGTATAGATTCAAAACAAACGTGGCAAACGTATACACAATGCTTACCCCTTTGCGTATAGGCAACTTTCCTAAACTCGAGTTGCCAGATATTCTCAATTGGCTCAGTGCTGCTGGTAAAGAACGCCGCCTTGATAGCGTGCTGTGACGACACGTTTTGCAGTTTCTATTCTTTATACTATCGTTCGTAAACAAGAAATCAAAAGTCGACTTCTGTTCCTCCTGCTTAATTTCTGTTTTAGTGTCGCCGTCGTTCTCCTTAACAGATGTTTCAGAATTTTGTGCAGCTTCTGATACTGCAGCATTTTCTTCCGTACTAATTACTTTATTGTTCGAAGATTCAGTCTGTTTTTCATGGGAAATGTTCAATTCACCTGACACTTCGGCGATTGATTCACAAACAAAATTTCTGCTACCTGCGTTGTACGAATAGTTTTCAATGATATTATTACTAGACTCTTGTATTTCCTCATTAGCTATCGTGTTGTCTGGATTAGGCTTATCAAACAAAAACGTTTCATCTTTTGACACTAAACGTTCAATACTTTTAATTTCGTCATCGTCGCTAATTTCTAAATCGTACAGATTTTCGAAAAGCTGCTTCCTGTCTTGATTATCGTCCATCATTACTTCAAAGTCCTGGTAGTATTTGAATGAAGGAGACGGACAGGAATCGTTACTATTTGGAGAAATGGAGCGTACAATTTTTGCAGCTCGGTCCAAAGCATCCTTTAAATTTTGCAAGGATTCGCTCTGACAGCCGGTCAGCGTTATTGACTTGTTTGTATTTTCGAATACTTGTGTACATCCTCCTTCTTGATTGGTTTCTACAGACATTTCAATGGTTTTATCATAAACATTGTCATGTTAAAGATAACAAAATGTTATAAATGTTTAGAGCATTACAATATAATAATAATTACTCTAAACTAATTTGTTTCATACTGACGCGAAAAATACTTTATATTTATTTATATTATAATAATTTATTACCTTCCGAGTTTTCCTTTATGACATAAGTACTGTCGCTATTAAAAGAAATTGATTCTATTGTTTCATTTTTAGTCGTAGCTTCAGCATAAGATTCGCTGTCGTCCATCTGTTGTTCAAAGAAACGTGGCTGTAATTGCAAAGTACATGTCTAATCATAAAGATTTCTAATGGTTTTAAGGATAAAATAATGTGAAGTCTTACAGATTCATCGCTACATATTTTTCTCATTTTAGACAAGCAAATCAATTTCTCTTTCCTCCACAGTGATGTTTCGAAAAAGTTTTGGGGATCGGAATTTAATACTCGTGGTTGCATTATTGCGTTTTTAATATCTTCATGTAAACAGGCAGTCTGTAATATATAAATTAGAATACAATGAAATTTAATATCGTTCATTAAAGAACAATCTAATAGGACTTGGAATGTTTTAGAGAAAATCGTACCTTATGACATCGCTGTAACGTTGACTTCAAGTAAATCGGATCGTACGGAGTGGGAGATTTACGGTATTTTGGTTCTAAGCTAGTTTTGTGGCTAGCTGGCTTATGTGGTTCGTAATCTTTACTTTTTGTATCAATAAGCAATTTACTGGTTGAGCCTGATTTAAAAATATTAAAGAATTACATAAAATAATACTCGGTTAACTGTATCTATAATTTTTCCAATTATGGAAAGAGATCGTAGTTTCTTAACCCGCTGTGTTACACTTAAAATGACTTTTTCCAAAATACAAGCAACAGTTTTAAGCAATAAAAATAAAAAAGGAAACGTGCATGTACCTATATCTGTAGACGCGCACGACGAATCACTGCCGTAGAAGAAATGTTCTCTTCTGTTCGCCAATATTTTTTTCAGCTGTTTTAAATTAGTTCTTGCATCTTTGAAGGATTCGTCGTCCGTGGATTCTAACAATGGCGACGAGTAGACGGAAGTTGTCCCGGACTCTGTCATTTCCTGCGGCGCTTTGACCTTTTTGTAGGTGTTGCTCCACGGTTGTGAATTCTGTTGCGCAATAAATTCTTCGTTCTCAATATCCAGGACTTCCGATCGTCTCGAATAGTTGATCTTCTTACAGTTATTTTGTATACTGTTATAAATGTTTTCTTTCTGCACGTCGTTCTTGGTGTTGCCTTTAATGTCATCAGTAAAGAAATTTATTTCTTCGACGTCGGCTGCTACTTTTTGACTTGTATTCTGTTTGGACATTGATATTTTTGAATACAAATGTCTCGGTGCTGTGTCCGGACTTATCGCATATTGAGGTAACTGCTTGGCCGAGACGTTCTTGGTCAGTTTTGAACTTTTATTCTTCAACATAGGAGATTTCTTCCTTTGCAAGATATAAGTGTTTCCGACTTCGTTATTATTATTTATATAGTGGTCGATGTAAATTGGCTCCTCATTCTCATATTGTATCTATTATTGGATATTGTACATTTTATTAGTATAGAGTTTAACAAAAATTAAATTTAAGCCTTTTCAGAGAAAAAATTTTACCTCCAATTTCTGAAGAAATCTACGCATTCTATTCATATCCAATGTCCTTTTATTAACATCTAACTGTAGTCCAGCATCCAGTAAATTGTACAGCAATGATGGAAAATCATACAAGTCCATAATAACACCACGCTTCCAATGCATGTACTGTCTTTCTACGTCTGCTTTGCTATATCCACTCCATGGAACGTGCACTGTGTATCAATAAAAAATCAACGTTTCTTTATTAATTAATTCATGATTTTACATGTGTATGTTTATTTATTAATAAATATAAGTATAGACTACAATTAGTCGAGGTAGGGAGAAACTTTCGGAGAACTCTTTCAAGTTTCGCGCGAAAAACGACGGATACGTAAATTTATAAAACGATAGAAATCGAATTTTAATTTGTAGACATGCCGCCGAAATAACGATATAGAAAGTATCGAATTATAAAGATCACAATTTTACGTAGTTAACATTCCAAGAGATAACAAACTATCAACTGAGATCAGAAAAGCTGCAATGCTTTTATTATTACGTGATATACGAGAAATATGAATGTAATTGCTTCCAAATTAAACGTGTACACGTGCAAACTTACTATCCTACTTAAATGCTTTGCCTGACTGACATAGTTGCGACATGTGCAAGGTGCTATGAAAATTGTACCATCCGTTTGAAAATTATTAAATGATAATAATAAAAAAATTATTCATTTGAAGATTATTAAATGATAATAGTAAGAAAGTTATTCATTTGAAAATTATTAAATGATAATAGTAAGAAAGTTATTCATTTGAAAATTATTAAATGATAATAGTAAGAAAATTATTCATTTGAGAATTATTAAATAATAATAGTAAGAAAGTTATTCATTTGAAAATTATTAAATAATAATAGTAAGAAAATTATTTATTTGAAAATTATTAAATAATAATAGTAAGAAAAAAATTATTCATTTGAAAATTATTAAATAATAATAATATATAATAATATAATATAATAAATAATAATATATAATAATATATAATAATATAATATAATAAATAATAATATATAATAATAATATATATAATAAATAATAATTATCGAAATTTCAGCGAGTGCGATTTCGTTTCCTTTGAAGGGTTTCTCGTTGAAAAATTAATCTTACAATCGTTCATGTCCAGGCGAACGAAATCCACGCGTATGAAATTCTTCGAATGTTCGAAATTCGTTTTACATCGTGATATTACTCGAACGCGTTACAAAAAAAAAAAAAAATATTCAACTAGACGCACTTACTTGTACACATTTCCCAAATTATTAAAGCCAGTCCGTACACATCGCTCTCTCTATATGGTTCGTAACTCTGAAAAAGTTCCGGCGCCTGCCAGCGAAAAATCTCGGCTCGCAAACGGTCCTCGTATTCTCTTTCTGGTTTCGGCTGTGGCAAAATTACAAAATGCAAAATTGTCGAAAGAGAAAGCAGATGAAAATACTTCGCGATACACGCGTGTCGTAAATTGTGCATTCGACGAGAAAAACATTGTAAAATATTTCGTGACTTTTTAGACGTCAAAATACCATTCTTTTTCTTTTTTTTTTTTTAAATACCACCATAAAATATCATTCTTCTTCTTTTTTTTTTTTATAGAATTTAAAGTATATATTTTTGAAGTGCCAATTGCAGTTTACGTGCACGGTAATGCTGTGGAAGATATTCGTGAGAACTGGACGTGAAAGTACACGGAAGAAGATTGTGCAAAACTCACAGAATTTATTCAAACGTTCGCGCATATGTTAGAACAAATTGATTCCCACTATTATCTTCAGAACTTATTGCTTCATGAAAGTATCTATGTTAATTTCAAGTATATTACTCGAAACAATGGAAAAGCCACGTTTCTTAACTCTTTATCAGAAAAAAGTATATGTACCTATGTATATATATTAAAAGGTGGTAATATTTATTATTAAAATTATTAATAATAAATTTATTTTTCTATATTTATTTATATGTGTATATATATATATATATATAATTTATATATATATTTATCATTATTGTTGTCTATGATTTGCGTGAATTTCCATATTTCAGCCACGTTGTTGGATGTAATTAACAATGTTACGGTACGGTGACTTCATTCAAAAATGAAAACATTCAGTAAGATGTAACGCTGACAATTTCCTGCTACGAAATACTGCTGGGTGCGCCGGTGAAAAAACGGATATGATGCTACGCGCTGACTCGAGTTTGGCCGCGTGTAGTTTACGAAATGGTAATTGCGACAATCGGGCAAATTGTGCGAATTGTGATTGCAATACCGGGCATGGAAACACGTTAGCGATTTTAATAATATCTACAAATGTAATTGCAGCTTCCTCACGTTATCTCACCGTAACTTTTTACTCTCTACAAAGTTTTGTAAAGTAAATTGTATATTTTATAATTTGAATTTATTATTATCAGCGGCACGCATTTCAACTGAAACACGATGGCGAAGAAATTTTGGTGCAACGTGTGAATTATTCTTCTTCGTCGGTTGTCGATTTTCAGTGCAATATATTCGGTTCGTTAACTTCCAATGAAGTGAAATCAACTTTCGACAGGCGACTCTTTACCATTGTCATTTTTCGTGACTAGCCCCTCCTCTCATTAATAATTCGACGATCCACGTGGAAAAAGATAGTCACTGCTGGCTCCGTGAAAGTTAATTTGCATTGTGTGGGATGTGCGCGTCGATATTCGTTCATAAATAATTTTCGCAAGAGCTTACAGAGAATAAATTATTAAACACTTGCCACGTACGAATTGTGGTGTGAAAAACCTTTTCACCTGTTTTTCACCTGTCGACACATTCAATTCACAGTTACAGCAACTTCAAAAACACAAGTATACATAGAGTATCAAAATAATTAATCAAAATATGTCACGTAGCAGAATTAAAACGACGAATATGCGTAACTTACACCGTTGATATGCATGGCCAGTTCCCATCCACCCAGTTTCACGACACCACTAGAAGCCAAATAGACGCAATGCGAGCTGATGGCAGTGTGCACGTATCCGCGCATGTGAGAATGTCTTAAGGCATCGGACAGTCTTATTCCGCACTTCAAGATACTTTGTATGGATATTCGTTCACCCTGATCGTGTATGTAATGATAGAGGGTGCAATCGATGGATTCGAAAATGGAGATCACGCCGTGCTCGTCCGTGAAGGTGCTGGCCATTAACAGCACCACGTTGGGATGCCGAATTTCTCTGAACACACACGCGTAAGGATTTATGTTAATAAAATAAAGAAGAACACGTAAGTGTTTAAATCATCTGATAAATACATACGAAAGTACATCTAAGTCTGCCTTCACAGCTGCTTTGCACTCCGGATGCGAATACCTCTTCAGTGAAACTCGGGTGTTTTGCCACTCGGCGAAGATCAGCTCGAGGTATCGATCCTCGGTGCCAGCCACCCATCCAATCTCAAAAATCTGAGGAGCTGGTACATATGGTAGACCAGGTATAACTGACTTTGATTCCTGCGATTTCCACTCGTTGTCGCATTTGTTTTTGTTATTTTTCACCAAAAGAAGTTTGTCCGACCGTTTCTTGTCGGGACTGCAGGATGCCTCGATGTCTACGTCGGAAGTTCGTCGTCGATCTATGAAAGCTTGAAGGGCATTACGGTAAGATTGGCTAAAAGAAAAAAAAACAAAAAAAAAAAGAAAGATTATTTTGTAAGTAACGTTTAATCAAATACGTGACTAATACATCGTATAGTATATCATACAAATCACATTGACACATGTACACCTGTGAAAATGTTCGTGCCAATTCCTGGCAAGTTGAGAACCCTTTTCGAGTTCTAACACAACACGAGAAACAAACAAAAAAATGTGTCACAATGTGTCACGTGACGCCAGAGTGCAGCTTCTTAAAATTTCAAGGTGAATTCGAGTTGATAACGTCGACAGAAGGTGAAGAAGAAATTGTTACCGCTTCCACGACGTCGATCGGAAGAATTACGTGTCGCTGTCAGTTTGAATTTTCCTCGCGACGTACATACACGCAAAAATAGGTTAAGACGTTTTATCGCCTTTGCGCGAAAAATACATCGCTTACCTGACAGCCTGTCTGCGATTGTGTCTTAATCCTTGCCGGCTTTTCGCGTTATCTGTCATTTTCGAAATCAAAATAATCAAACTTCGTTTCACAGTCAATAATTATCCTTCGAACTATACTTATAATACTATACGGTGGCACTAGTGTTGTCGATGCGTCGTACACCGGATCGAATTATCGATCGTGTCAATCGATAAAAATGTCAACGAAAATACGCTATTGGCCATCCCTGAGTTTCCTGCATTGCGATTGGCCAGTTGCGAATTTGAATTTCAACAGTCTATTGCGTGACACGAGTCAACGTAACATTCTTTAAGTCGTTGAGAAGCAAATGTTCGATAATTTTTGATAATTTTTGAAAAGTGAGATATTGATTTTCGATCAAATCGACGTTCGAGTGAATTCTACTAAAAAACTACTCTAAAATGGTGGGGTCCTGTGCGAATTTGGGACTCCTAACCAATACACACGATCGATGTTTACACACGCAGAGTTTACAGTCATTGCTCGCAGTCAGAAATCGGTAAACAATTTAGGTAGTGCTATAGGTGCGGTGATAATGATCACTATTTTTTCGTGTTCAGTGAAGTTTAACATCGTTACAATGAGCCGGAACCCGACCTAACATTGAACTTTCGAGAGGAAAAATACACAGCTGCGGCCGCGTGTGGTAAGTACACGCTTATTTGATCGAAAACGTGAAACTTGCTTCACAGGTGTGTTGCGTGTGTTGTACAGGGTGGTCACTGAAAGACTGAATGATACAAAACAAAAATAACTTTTACAAACACAAGTTTTTTAAATTTTTTATTATTTATTTGGAAATATAATTAATGGATTTTTTTCAGTATTATGTATCAATATCCCTCAAATGACCACCATTTTTTCCTGTTCATAAATACGTGCTTTTTCAAACCTTTCAGTTTTTCAGTCGCCACCCTGTATTATCTTAGAACGTGCTGACAACTGTCATACGTTCCTACACGTTATCATATACCATATTACCATGACAATTAAACAAAATTAAACGAAGATCTCTTGAGGGGAATGATAGGATGTGAAAATCATAGTGGCGTGAGTCGATTTATTACCTATTACGAAATCGATATATATTCTTCGAAATTAAGCACGATGTTGCGGCGAAACTATAGTTTAATTCATTGTCAAACTTTGACGTATACTGCTATAACATTGTAGTGCAATATTGAACTTACTTGTTAAGGCCACTTTGCTCTTGAGTTGTGTCACCCCTATTTCGATTTCTTTGGGTGGTATCCCTGAAAAAAAAAAAAAAGTAAACACACACTCGTGTCATTGTGGACTCGCATTATGTGGGAATATCGAGATGCTGCAATTCCAACCGATGCTAAGACGCGTCGTTAACCTCTTGCGTTGGAAGCTGTACAAACCGTATGCAATTCGTCGCTTTCTTTCACTATTGAACTTGTCGGTATGATCTGGATAGAATTATTCGATAAATAATCGGTATCACTGGATAGAAATTATCAAGAAGTAATAAACTTATCATTTGTTTTGCCCGGGTTATACTTAAACATATTTAACACTGAGAAAATGTTGCAAAAAATTCTCGACGTGCGTGACACGTCATTACAGCGCAAGAGGTTAACCACTTGCGCCGGCAGCTGATTGCGGACCGTAATGAGTGACCAAACAGTACACAATAATTCGTCGCTTTCCTTTTCTTTTGAATTCGTCGGTACGATATCACTGGATAGAAATGTATTGAGAAGTAATAAATTTATTATTCGTTTTGCTTGGGTTATTACTTAAATATACTTAAAACTGGGAAAATATTGCAATTTTGGGCCAAATATTCTCGAGGGGTTAACCACTTGCGCTGGCAACTGATTGCGGACCGTAACGAGTGACCAAATCGTATACAATAATTCGTCGCTTTCTTTTCGATTCTCGTCGATATCGATGCCACTGGATAGAAATTACTAACGAATAATGAATTTATTATTACTTGTCTTGTTGCCTGGGTTGTATTTAAATATACTTAACTGAGAAAATATTGCAATATCGGGCAATATTAAAATTCCAGCGCAAGAGGTTAATGAGACGCACCAATTTCAATTCGACGTTAGAGAGCTAGGGAGGTTAGTGGAGCAATTCGACTGGGAAAAAAAGAGAGAGAGAGAATAGTTTCATCGCGGAAAGTGAACAGTTCACGTCCGTTTTCCGCCCGCGAGATTCCAAACTCCGTGAACTCGGACTTTCTCCGATTCCTTTTCCATGGATGGTAGAACAACGATTATCTCTCGACACGGTTATCTCTTTGCTCTCCTTCCTGCGTTCTTTTCGTCTCCACGTTTCACCTTGTCTCGCTGGCGATGCATTCTGCAAGTCTGGTCCACGAGACAAGCGGCCAAGAAAGCAGGCACGCTTGCAATTGACGAAATTGCAAGCGTAATTCCTTCAATTGAATTTAAAGTATTAAGCAGGCTTTCGTTAAGAAATCCCTGCGGCCAAATTGCTGCGGATCAATCAATTAAACTACGGCGCAATCGGTCACATCGGCCGCGGTTGAAATTGATCCCGACGAGCACGCACGGATTTTCTCTTTCGCAAATGTTTTTTTTCCCCCCGTTTTTTCGTTTCAACATTCGTCGAGATTCATTTTTATTTTATCAGAAGACACACAAGATAAATTAAAATTAACGAGGCGTCAGAACACGCTTGAATTTCTGACGATTTAGAATTAGAATCAATCAATCTTTGACTCGCGAACGATTCAATTCAAAGTTAATTAACCTTTACCATTAGTGATCTGATTTTCAACCGATGTTAAATGTATTTCGACGAGATAAATCGGAAGTGGTGTAGCAATAACGTAACGAAGTTTATCGATGCTGTCATTCGTAAAGTGCCAGTTGGTCTTGGTTTCATCGAACGCGTGTCCAAGTGTAATTAAGACTTTCCAATCTACGCCCGAAGCACTCTATTCTCGCGGTCGATTACCAAGGACCTAGTGTCGTCGTCGTGGTTCCTTTGAAATTTTAACACGGAATCGGAACAACGTGCGCAATTTACGCGCGGCACACCGATTTTTCCTGTCCATTTCTGTGCCGGTGAAATCAGGAACAGCGGACGAAGATAGGGAAGATACAGATACGTAACGATAATGCAGTCAGATAAACTGTAATCTACTAACTAGCGAGAACTAGCTAGGAAAAGTAGCACGCTTCCGTGATATTCACCTTGTTCGAGTGTTGTTCGTTTAATTGAATAAACGAAATGCCAGGTTTCGCCCGTTCATTATGATGATATACGATAGTAATGTTTCCAAATAATAATTGAAACTTCGAAAATTCTCTGTATTCTATTCTCCTATCATTTTTTGATTCACATTTAAAAATCTATATTAATTGAAGAGATGGTATTGCATTTAAGAAATATAGTTACTCTCATTACGATATTAATATGGTTGCATTTTTCTGCGATTCATTAAGAGATACGTCCTAGATGTAAACGGTACATATTTTAATATGTACGCGCGATCCGGGTTGCACAGGATAAAATAAGGAAATTAAACTGCGCATCCTATGACCGCATTTCACCAGCAAACTGGGTGACGAGTTGCGTCAATTTTCCAATAATTGCGACCAATTTATTAAAAATCGAGTATAATAATTGACGTAGGAATTTGTTTAGAAAAAAAATTGATTTAAAATTAAATTTAATTAAATTAAATATCTTCAATTTGTTCAGAAGAAAAATTGATTTAAAATTAAATTTAATTAAATTAAATGTCTTCAATTTGTTCAGAAAGAAAATTGATTTAAAATTAAATCTAATTAAATTAAATATCTTTAATTTGTTTAGAAGGAAAATTGATTTAAAATTAAATCTAATTAAATTAAATGTCTTTAATTTGTTTAGAAAAAAATTGATTTAAAATTAAATTAAATTAAATTAAATGTCTTCAATTTGTTCAGAAGGAAAATTGATTTAAAATTAAATTTAATTAAATTAAATATCTTTAATTTGTTTAGAAGGAAAATTGATTTAAAATTAAATCTAATTAAATTAAATGTCTTTAATTTGTTTAGAAAAAAATTGATTTAAAATTAAATTAAATTAAATATATTTCTACTCGTTACAAAATAACACTTCACTATATTACGTAGTATTTTATATTTTAGTGTGCGTTTTAATACTGTGAAACTATATAAAAAAAGCATCATATCTACCACACTCATTTCTGAAAATGTATGTAGGAAACAGAAAGACTCTTTTTACGCACATAATTAATACGAATATGACAAGGGTCACAAACGATCTCTTATCACATAAGACTTCAATATTTTTTTCTCTTTTTTTTTTACTTTTTTTTTGTTATTAAAATTATTATTGCCATTATAACCACCACCATCAAAGTCGCACTATTAGTGCAATAATTATAATAGTAATTACATTATTTATCATTATTCTATATGTCCTGCATGAATATTATTGTTCTTATTTTCATGTCTCATTATTGTTTCACTTTTCACTTAATCCTCGATTAACGAGCATGTTTGACAAAACTGAAACGAGATTTCAAATCGTAGCGAATAAATTTTCAGCTGGATTTGAACTTAAAATCACAACGGATTGATGTTTACAATTTTTCACAATGAATCGAAATTTTTACACTCGCGGGACAGAAAAATTCGCTTAAATGTTCGTTATCAGAGAGTGATTGCATAACGATTACTAATCGTAATGTTCAAACAGACTACGTTCTTACTAAATATCAACTGAGTGAGAGTTATACAACCATTATCGGTTATTAAAAAAAAAAAAAAGAAAAGAGAAAAAGAAAAAAAATCTATGGCATGATTTCTAAAAATAATTCAGCGTGATAAGGTCAACGAAGAGACAAGACGTTAACGTTTTGCTTGACGTGAAATGATACGAATTTATACCACGGATGTCTGCGCGTTCTTCGACTGTACAGGATGGATAAAAAAAAAGTTTGTCCGTGGCTACCATAGATGAATTATACCACCTTCGATTTGATGGAAATACAACATGTATGAAATCTTGAATTTTAGGGTCAAAAACAATTTTTTTTTTTTGCATTGTATTCTATTTATCACAAAGGTAAAACTTTTCCAAGAAATTTAATAGTCTTCAAAAAAAAAAAAAAAAAAGTTCCTTAATCATTTAACACTGCGGACGCGTGCGTTCTAACAGCGACTTTATGATTCCGGGATGCGTGGATTTAATTTTCGTATTAGGTTTCTAACGTTTGATTCATCATACAGCATCGTTAAATAATCAAATGATAAAACTGACTGTTTAACATTATTCGAAATATAAACATTATATCCACGCGTTCAGAACTATAAAGCCGCTGTTAGAACGCGCACGTCCGCGGCGTCCAACGATCGAGAAACTTTTTTGCCATTTTTCAAGAGAACTATCAAGCTGCGACCTATGGTTCCTTGGAAAAGTTTTACCTTCACGATGAGTAGAATACAATGTGAAGGAGACGAAAAATTTTGATCTTGAAATTCAAGGTCAAGGTCAGTTTCGCGACAGATTCTTTACACGTATCTCCATCAAATCGAAGATGTAGAATTCATTTATGATAGCCACGGACAAACTTTTCTTTCCGCACTGTACAACGACGTGACCATTAACAGAGAAAGCATATGATGCATTAGTATGCTTAATAAACCTTTATTGTGTGGACCTGCGGGGCAAGAACTGACCTGCCACTATTCACAGATCCGCGTCGTCACAGTTTCGTTAGCAGCGATTATGCAACGCGAAACAAGATGATTCGCGAGTTTGTCACGCGATAAACGCTAAAATAAACGTTGAAAACGGTAGCAATTCATTTCAGGATTATTCTCTAGCGTAATTGAACTAATATTATTAATAAAAATGTTGGAATGAAATTCTCCAGAGTGCAATTGACGAAATGGATAAATGATCGATGATAAATTTTCAACTTTTCAGTGATACGAGTGCCATTTAATTGGTAAATATAAAATTAATATTATATTTATAATATTATTATATTATTATTTTTAAATATTTATAGTATTTTTAATATTGTAATATTATTATATTATATTTTATATATATATAATTTAAAATATTATATTATTATTTATAAATATTTATAATAATAATATTTTTAATATTATAATATTATTATATTATATTTTATATATATATATAAAATTTAAAATATATTATTATTTATAAATATTTATAATAATATTTTTAATATTATTATATTGTATATAATATAATAATT